CTTCTCACTACTGCCCATCTCTCTCGCACGCTTGGGCATGCTGATGTTCCCGCTCTCGATACTGATAATCTAGCTCAGGGTGGCTTTGTTGGAGCTCTTGGATTATGTGCTGTCTCGGTGCGTCAATTTCTCATGCCTGTTTTGACCAGGATGGGCTGATATTTGTTTTCCAGCTTGAACGTGCATTTTCTCTACTCAGCGACAATGCCGTCAGCATCGAAAATTTGGAGGATGCGGACATACCAACCACAGCACGGAAGACTCGTTTCCAGACACCAAAGACGCTCAACAAGGCTACTGGCAAGGAGACGGGAACAGAGCATGCATTCTCGGTCGTTAAATGGGGGATGAAAACTGCCGCATTTGTTTGGGCAGCAAAAAAGAAGGGCCCGGAAGCAACACACCTGACGGCATCCATTGCATACAAGCACCTGAAGAAGCCTGGTGCAAGCATCAACTCAGACGATGAAATGGATGACCATGAAGATGTCTGGTAATTTGCACTTGAGATTTATCCTAGCCACATCCTACTAAATCCTTTATTTTTCTTTCAGATTTAATCAGGGCAAATTTCTCCCCCCCTCATATTATCTGTACCTTTTGCTCTTTTACATCGTGGTTTGCACCGTCATTTTCTTTTTTTCTACTGCATTTTCCTCCTTTCATGCAGCTTTTAATGACTTTCTCTGTCATTTATGTGCCTTTTTGTCCGGCTTGATTACCTCTTATTCCATCTTTTGAATCTTCTGCAGTCACTTTTCCGATGATATCTAGGACATTTGAATGACACATTTTTGCCCTTTTGCGAGTTTTCTTGTCTTGTGCCGCACATGAAAAGTCGGTACAAGACAAATTGAGACAGTTTAAGAAAGCGAGTGGCCTTGACACGTCTTTTGAGACTCAGGCTCATTTTGTGGCTTATATCGCGGGAAAATATCAAAAAAGGCAGGTTAAGTCATTTGTGATTTTGCTGATGCTGCTCGGGGGACTCGGTCACATTTCATTGGAGTCGCAGAATACAAAGGATTACAGGCGGGAGCTCGAAGAGAAGAAAGAGAGACTAACTAGTGGATAGAAAGGCTCGGGAGAGACGATGTTTGTTGTATATACAGAGCACACCTAGTAGTAACAATATAAATCATATGTCACTTGTATGTCACAGCAGTCCAAGTTGACGCTGCACGTTGCTGAAACCTTCGTGCTCGCTGTGGGCAACAGCGAGCTCAACTACTGCAGCAATTCATCACTTCATGCTACCCATTGTCCAGCATGACCTGAGATTACGGTGCCAGTCGAATCTGGTTGTGTCTGACGGCAGTGTTCACATCCATTCCTAGCCACATAACTCACATTTCGAGATGGGGGCATGGACTGTACGAAGGCAGCCATGGCAGACACTGTGAAGAAGGTGCCGCTCGAACAGAAGATTGTTGGTGTGTAGTTCCATATTGCATATTCTACCATTCCCTCCATAGCTTGGACACTACTGTTGTCATCTTCCGCAATCAAGATTCAAGCCTGTGTTTCAGTTTTGTTTCATGTGTCTCTTTCAGTTTTGCTCATCATTGGCGGACACGACTCGGACACGTTTCCAACCAGTAGATGACGGTCATGCTGCCAAGTCATCGCGAATGAGTTAAATGCTTTTGTCTGTCACAGCTGACACGGTTTCAATAGATGGAATATACTATTCAAAAGCACAGGCGATGTGCGGCCATGCTTCCTGTGGTGTTTGCACAGCCACCAATCAACACCCTTCCATTATACCATGTGACTGGTTATCTTTTCCTTTTGATATTCTGTGTCTCGGGTTCTGAAGTTTCCGAATAACCGTGCTGCGCGCGTACCTACTTATATCACATGGCTTATCTACAGAAAACACATAAAAGACCCAGTAGATAGTATTGTAAAGCCTGGCATTCTTGCAACTAAGCTATTACCTGGTGACATTGCGCAGATCGTCTAAGTCTTTTTCCGTGTGCCTTCACCTCAAGTATTACTACTTCGAGCCGTCGTCACATATTTTTTCACCTTCACTCTAGCTTTATCTAAACCAACCCCACTGCCGTTCCTCGATAACCTAGGTTTGGCCAACTTCTGGCGACGAGTCGACGACAGACACTCTCAACATGACAACAAACCGATACAACCTACGTCCCACCAAAAAACGCGCCCGGGGAGCCCTCCCGACTCCTAATCTCCCCAGTGCTATGCCAGCTACCCCCGTCGACTCCCCCTCGAACATCATGGACAATGACAACAACCCTGAGACAGCCGCTCCTGTAGTGGCTGGATCGGAGACCTCCGTCCTCAGGACTGTTCATTCCTATAGCAATATAGTCCAGGCGAGTAGCCCCTGGATAAGGCCTCGCGCCGCCAGGGAGACAACCACTGAGCAGGTCTCAGTGGCTGACGTTACCCCTGTGTATAATACAGAATCAGTGGAAGACGTAAACGAGATTTTGAACGAAACCATACCTCCCGCTCTCAGTGAAGCGGGTCCAGACTCTGAAAGCGATGAGTCCGACGATGACGATCATCCTTGGATTGCAGTAAAGCATAAGAGAAACCATAAGGGAACCTCTTCGGGGGAAAACGATAACGCGGATGAGAGTTCACCCGCATTAACTCGAGAACAGCGAAACCTCGTATGAGAGGCCGAGCGTCGTCTAACAGACGACGAACGTGAGCGTATTGATCGTAGACGATCGCTGTTGCACTCACGAACAAAAGCTGGCAGCCCTGACCAGCGGATGGTGGGGCCCTCCAAAGGAAAGGCCACTGACCCCAGGGAATGGGGGCAGCGGACCTGGATGAGGAAGAGCTTGACGCAGATGCCCAGCGTGTGGCGTTCAAAGCCTGGAATGCTGCGAAAGCTGCTGCTGAGGATACCGACGCTGATCAGGAAATGAATGACTCGTACCGATGAGCTGGTCGGTTCGGTGGTGAATAATGAACTGTCCGAAGATGAGATTGAAAGACTCATTCAGGAAAGAACAATGGAGGCTGTGTGCAAGGCGGAGGCCAGAATGCAGTGTAAATATGAGAAGAAGATTCGTGAACTGGCCAGAAGGGCAGAACGTGAACTGCCGCAGAAGGAGGCTCTCACTAAGGGTGCGAATAGCGCCTCTACGCAACTGAAACCAGTCAGAGCGATGTTAGAAAGGACTATTAAGCCCTCATCCAAGGCCCAGGCACCCAGCGAAGCTCCGCAGACCATGCAACCAGTGCATCAGGTGACGGTGCAAAGCTACATCGGGCGGGCCCTGAAGAGGACCAAGTCGGACAGGAAGAAGGGCAAAGTCCCATCAGATCCGTCTGACGATAGCTCTGATAGTAGCGACGAGGGCTCTGATGAAACAACAATGTCCGAGTCCTTGACAGAGTCTTCCAGCAGCTCAGACACTGAGGGGTCGCAAAGACGACGAACGAGGAAATCGTCAAGCAAGCGAAAGGCAAAGAAGAAAAGACCCACCATCCTGAGACCAGTGCCACCAACGGTGTATGACGGTGAAGCCGATTCGAGGGCATACCACCGATTCATTACTGAAGGCACCGCCTATGTGAAGGACAGTCGCGTGAGGTCCAAAGCACGTGTGTTTACCCTGTCACGTTATCTAACCGGAAAAGCGCATGAGTTCTATATCCGCGAAGTGGCTAGGGATCCTTACCAATGGCGGTTGACGGAGTTCTTCATGGAACTCTTCAACCATTGCTTCCCAGTGAACTTCCGGACGGAGCTGCGCGCTAAGCTTAAGCGCTGCTACCAGAATGACAAGACAGTCAGAGCTTACTTCTATGAACTCAGTGAACTCTGGAACATGATCGGTGACATTGATGAATGTCAACGAGTCGAACGACTGTGGTTTGGACTCAAGACGGACATCCAGCGTGAGCTATGGAAGAAAGAACTTAACCCCAAGGTCTCCACCTTTAACGAGGTGTTGGCGGCGGCAGAAATAATTGAAATATCCCAATCAGTACCTGTAGGACGGGACCGTCAGTCAAAGAAGGACCCAACGCACCTTGAAAGCTCCTTTGTTACCCCTGAGAAGAATCGCAAAGGCAAGGGGCCGCACAAGCGCAATCAAAAGAAAGGCCCGGGAGCTGGGAAGGGCGACAGGCCGTGGTCTAAGGACCAGAAACCAGGAGATCAGGCCCGCCCAAGGGGAGACGAGGGTCGAAAGCCCCCGACATCAATGGGCAAACAGTTCGAGCCGCTGCCCAAGGAAGAGCATGATCGATTGGCCGCCGAAGGAAAGTGTTTCAGGTGTAAACAACCTGGACACCAATCTCGTCATTGTCCGGAGCAGAATAATGTGAAAATGGACTCACCAGGCAGACCACCAGGCATATCGAGCTATGGAATTGAGGTAGACCTAGGGGAGGTCGATCGATTACGCGGACTGGCCGAGGCGACAGAAGCCGGAGGAGAGGCTTTTGTCAGCTCCATAGGATTCACTGATATGATATGGGAGGCAACATGCAACCCCGGCCCGAATGGCATGGGAGATGCGTTAGCTGAGTGAGCTCATGTCAAGCTGTCGGGGATACTGTATCCTGGGGATGCCCCAGACAATGCGGACTTGCTGGCCACTGACCATTTCTACCTGTACCAGGTAACAGAGAATGAGTACGTCATAATGAACTCAGGATGCAGGCTGGATCCAGAGCTTACCGTACCTATTGCGTCACTGATGAATCCGTTATTCAAACTAGATCGCTGGTACTGGCGTCACCTTGGTCTAAGACGGGGCTATGATAAACGAGACCTCACGAGGAGTGAGCGTCAATGTACCTGGAGGTCTGGGTCTATGGGAGATGCCTTGGCAGAGCACGCTACATTCCTATTGGACTCGCGGTCCCAGTACCCAAACGATGGGCCCGCGTGTAGAGCACCGCGGAGGTTCGAGTGTTGCTTCGTAGGTCATGGGCTCTACAAAGTCTACGACACCGTGTTGTCCTTCTCGGCAACTGTGTCTGAGAAACTGTTAATGAACAGGTGCTTTGACATCACTAACTGGTATGCAAAGCAACTCACTGCAGGCTACCATGCCCTGCAGGACAAGTTTGACAAGTGGACTTGCGAATGGGATGTATTTCGGCTGTTAGATCGCGGATCGCTGTTGCCAATGGATTGTCAGTTGGACAAGCTGGCAAGATATATATTAGAACCCATACCTCCAATGTGGATGTGGCAAGTGCACAGGTTAATACATATCATAGAGTTTAACGGGGTGTCAGTCCCCGCAGGGACATACCCCACATTGCAGCGCAATGCCGCACTGACTTGGGACTTCACGCAACTGTTGCCCAAGCCGATAGTCGTGGTTGTACACATCAACGGTCGCCCTGCTCGTGTTTTGATCGATACCGGGTCGTTAGCAGACTTTATGTAGTTAACCTTAGCGGAACAGTTGCGCTTACCTTTGACGCAACTAGAAAAACCCTTAACCATCCAGCTCGCGGTCCAGGGTTCGCGCTCTAAGGTGAATTACAGCGCGAAGGCCCGCTTGCAGTATCAAGGTATCAATAACAAATGATACTTCAATGTCATAAATCTACAAAACTACGATTTAATATTAGGGACGCCGTTCCTATACCAGCATAAGGTCACAGTGGGATTCAACTGACCAAAGGTTATTGTGGGGAGCAATCTGCCCATGCCAATGAAAGGCGACGAAGTCTCCATGTTGGAGTCTCGTGCGGCGCACATATACTCCGAGGAGCTCGGTAAGGTTCGTGAGTACCTAAAAGAATTAGCATGACCACTGTGTATAAAGGCGGCGGTGACAGGATTGCCACCGTTACGCGCGATTAACCACACGATCCCGTTAATCGACAAGACGAAGGTGTACCTGTGGCGACCATCGCATTGCCCAGAGGCAATGAGGCCACAATGGTCGGAGAAGAGAGCAGCGTACCTTGCGTCGGGACGCTGGCAGGTGACGAGCGCAGGGAATACGGTCCCGATGCTGTTTTTGAGAAAACCCGGATTGGATCGACTGAGGATGGTGTTTGATCTGAGTGAGCGCAACAACAACACTAGGAAGCTCTTGTCACCCCTACCTGACATGGAGGGCATCTTGCGCAGAGTATCGTGTAAGAACTATAAGTCCTTGATCGATGGTCAGGACACCTATGAACAGATTAGAATCATACCTGAGCACGTACCGCAGTCCACCATTACCACACCTGATGGGAATATGGTCAGTAATGTTATCCAGCAAGGGGATTGTAACGCGCCAGCCACTTACCAGGCACTGATGAACCATTTGTTCGGCGAGTACATCGGGAAATTTATGGACGTATACCTTGACGACATCATCGTCTACTCTGATACTCTGGAGGACCATATAGATCACATCAAGAAGGTTTTAAAGATCTTAGAGCGGGAAAATCTTTACCTGAGTGAGAGCAAGCTCCAGTTCTTGTGTGACGAGATAAAAATCCTCGGACGCGTGGTGGGCAAGGATGGGATCCGAATGGACCCTGCCAAAGTGGATAAGATCCTGGCCTGGAAGGTTCCTACGAACTGAACGCTGTGCCGCAGATTCATTGGTTTGGTAGGGTACCTGGCGGACGATATCCACCAGGTGAGGTTACCCTTGGGGGTCCTATCGGAAGCGTCAGCGGATAGTGTTCCATTCCGTTGGATGCACACGGAACAGCGTGCCTTTGATGAGGTTAAACGTTACGTGTCGGCGTGTGCCCCGCACAGTAGGATGCCGTTGGATTACTCACCGGGGCACGCTAGGATATGGATGATGATGGACGCCAGCACCACGGGCATTGGCGGCGTAATCGCACAGGGGGACAACTGGCGAACAGCGTGCGTAGCGGTGTTCTACTCCGCGAAAATGTCGTCCGCCCAATGTAACTACCCTGTGCATGAACAAGAGTTGTTAGCAGGGGTGGAGACTATGACAAGACATCGGGGCATCCTGCAGGGTGTCCCCTTCACCTGGCTGACTGACCACAAGGGCTTGGTCCACTTCTTGAAACAAAAGAACCTGTCAGGGCATCAGGCTCATTGGCAGGAGACGACAGGTGAGTTTGACTTTACCATAGAGTATCTCCCTGGGGAGGAGAACATCTTGCCTGATGCATTATCTCGCCTCTACGAGTTTGATGAGCCAGGGACGGTCAGGGCGCCGAGTGAGTACGTCGCCCTCGATGGGGACGCCATCCCGTCTTTGGTGGTAGGCATCATTTCGATGCCGGTGATAGTGGGCAAGGAGGCGATGGCTGACCTGCCTCGTCGCAGTGCGCAGGTGGTGGCCAGGCCGAGTGATCCGATTCCTGGTATGGGCTCGACCATACCTTTCATGAACCGAGGAGTTCTAGGGATGGACAAACCCAAACCTTTCATGAACCCAAGAGTTTTGGTGGCAGAGAACCCCAAACCTTCCATGAACCGAAGAGTTTTGGGGGAAGGCAATCCCAAACCTTCCATGAACCGAAGAGTTGGGGGATGTGGGCCAGTTGAGCCTGTGGAGATGGGACGCCCTGAGACGTCGGCAGAATTTGCGCGGCGGATAGGGGATCGTTTCGTCCTAAAGGGCCCAGTCGAACGAAAGGAAGGGGGAGAGCACCTGATGGTGCCAAACCCTGAGTATAGCCAACCAGATGAGACGCTGCGCGTGGCAACACGGGAAGAAATTGAAAACCTGAAAGAAGGGTTAACAGAGCCCGAATACCAGCCGGCTAAGCTGCCAATAATGTACCCTGAGAACAAAGCCCTGCTTTCCGAGGTAAAGGGGTGCTATGAGGAAGACTCATTCTTCAAAACAATACTTGACGCCCCTGGCTCGTATAAGAACTTTGAGTTGCAGGACAGGTACCTGTGGCTGCGCCTGCAGGATAGGGTACTACTCTGCATCCCGGACGTCTTGGTGGAAGGACGAAAATTGTGCAAGACTCTAATTGACCAAGCACACTCATTATTAGCTCATCTGGGTGCGCGAAAAACAATGTTGTACTTACGAGAGTATGTCTGGTGGAAGACACTAGTACCTGACGTGCAGGCATTCTGCGCTTCGTGTAAATCCTGTCAACGGAGTAAACCACCGAACCAGAAACCAATGGGACTATTACACTCATTAAAGGTGCCATCGAAGCCTTGGGAGGCAATTGGCGTGGACTTTGTTGGGCCCCTACCATTGTCGAGCAATAGGGACAGGGAATTTGATAGTATCACCATGATAATCGATTTATTCATGGGGATGGTGCACCTCGTGCCAAGCCGAATGAACTACAATGCTAAAGAGATAGCAGAATTAATGTTCGCGGAGGTGTATAAACACCATGGCCTACCTAAAGCGATCATAAGCGATCGCGACGTGCTGTTCACGAGCAGATTCTGGATGCACCTGAATAAGCTGATTGGTATCAAACAGAAGATGTCCAGTGCTTATCATCCTGAAACAGATGGATCTACTGAACGCGCGAATCAGACTGTGACACAGATGATACGATGTGTCATATCACCCAACCAAACAGACTGGGTAGGTCGTTTGCCTGCGATCGAGTTTGCGATAAACTTAGCGCACAATGAGTCAACGACGTACCCGCTGTTCTTTGTCAACTCAGGTCGCATGCCTCGGCCAATGATATGGGAAACGCCCGACTCAACTGAGTACTCAGGGGTAAGAGTATATGCTCAGAAAATGAAGGCGACAGTGCTCACCGCGCATGACACGATATTGGCTGCACGCGTTAAGCAGACAAGAGAGGCTAACAAGCATAGGAGGGCCAGCCCTTTCGTAATAGGCGACCTAGTATATGTGTTGTCTAAAAACATTAGCTTTCCTAAGGGATTATTATGAAAGTTCATACCCAAGTATATTGGCCCTTACCGAATATTGGAAGACTTCAGGAATAACTCGTATCGAATAGAGCTACCCAGCAGGCTGAAACAGCGGGGTGTACATCCTGTGTTTCACTCATCTTACCTACGGATCCACGTGCCTAATGACGACCGTCGGTTTCCCGGACGGCTTGAAACTCAGATCGCTGAGTTCGATGACCATGCGGAACGCGAATGGGCTGTCGATCGGATACTGTCTCATAAAGGCACCCGAACGAATGCGGACTTCGAAGTTCAATGGAAGTCCAGGGACAGGACTTGGCTACCATTCGATCAGGTAGAACATCTTGATGCACTAAAAGATTATTTTAACGTCGTTGGGATAGAGTCCATCGGTGAGCTGGCGGATGGCGACGGGGAGGCACCAACTGACAATCCCCAGGTGTTTTTAGGGCACATATGTCTCACTCCCGTCAGCACTTATAACACTTCCAACTTCAACATCCTTTTGGTACACTCGCAAGAAGAAGATTACCGTCCAGACCCCATGCACAACTCAGCTTTTCGCAACTTTACCCTTTCAGGGCCTGGGATGTATACCTTCTCGGACATGCAAGTCCCCCAACAACTCTACTCGGTCACTCACGAACAAGTCAAGTCTTTTGTGGACTATGACTGCGCTTCTGCGATCTGGAGAAGACCGCACTACCCAGCCTGTGCCGCTCAGTTACGACAAGTTCACATTTGAGTTTAACTTTAATGAGCCCGAGATTCTCGTTAAATTTACTACCGTCGGGACGGATGACGTGGTGAAGATCAACGGACCTGCCGTGACCACTGAATTTCTCGTCGGAGATGACAAGGTCCAACCTACCATCATTCAACCTACTACTACTACTCCCCGTGACCCGGAGGGAGGGCGTTGGCTAAACAAGCGTAAGGCGGAGTTGATTGACGACACCCTATGGGATAACCTTGAGAGGTCCCATCGTCAGAACCTCCGCCATGATGAAGCTATCAAAGCTCAGAAGAGCAAGAGGCAGTACCTTGATAGCCCTCAGCCGCCCTCCTCACCCGCACCTGCCATTCCCTGTCCTCCTAAATCCAATGTCAGTGGTTCCAAGGTTGGGCCTAGCCGGGCCCCAGCACAGAAGGAGACTAATCAGACGGATGACATGCGCATGGGAGGCGCTGAGGATGATTATAACAACGAGGTCGCGAGGGAAGTCGGCCGCGTCAACAAGAAGGACAAGGGTGTAGTGGGTAGGAAGTAAAGGAGACTTGGCAGTCCCCTGGAGGGGGGTATGTGGCATTTGCACGGCCACCAATCAACACCCTTCCATTATTACCATGTGACTGGTTATCTTTTCCTTTTGATATTCTGTGTCTCGGGTTCTGAACTTTCCGAATAACCGTGCTGCGCGCGTACCTACTTATATCACATGGCTTATCTACAGAAAACACATAAAAGACCCAGTAGATAGTATTGTAAAGCCCGGCATTCTTGCAACTAAGCTATTACCTGGTGACATTGCGCAGATCGTCTAAGTCTTTTTCCATGTGCCTTCGCCTCAAGTATTACTACTTCGAGTCGTCATCACACTTCCTTTTCAGCACTCAGCCTAGACTTTCTGGCGTGCTCAACACTAGTTAAGTTTTGACCACCGAATCCAAATTGATGGGAACTGCTGCCAGCTGGTGCTCAGCTTATTTCCTTTCCACAAAACACATGCATGACTTTCATGATTTTGTATCATAGGCCGTGACGTTGGAGCGAACACACGAAAAAACGTACATTTGTTGGTAGGCCAAGTCCATTTAATTCATCCATCAAGAACACATTGGCGCGCGATGAATCAAATGCTCGTGCCATGTGTAGCACCAGTCCCAACATAATCAGCAATGCAAATATCGCAAACAATTGGAATAAGTTGCGGATAAATTGACATTGCGTATGTAGCACGTGGTCATAAACAGTACGTGAACTCCACCGACGGACGCCAATACCCAATCTACGACTGAAAAATACATCTACTAATGGGTCAACAACTCGTAAGTTGGAGCCATCTAGGTCAATTATTCCACAATGCCGTTACAGTTTACCCCTGCGACCACTGGCCTGGCTTCTGGTATGCTCTAGTGGTGAGGTCATGCAGGCATAGGGTCAGGCCTAATGAGTTTCCACATGCATATGGTCAGTGAGTGTGTCTGTGCATCCCTGCAAATCTGAAATTGGGTGAATACATCACCATAGATCGAAGTTCACTAACATGTACTACCAGAAGGACTCAGTGGCGGAGTGCGTCCGGCACATTATTTGATGCCTTCAAAACAATTATGTCATGGAGCGCAGCTTCGTGATGCAAGCACATCCAGATTGTTTGGCTGTCCCCTATACACTACCTGTGGATAAAAGCCAGCGTATTAGTTTTTGATTCAGAAATTACTATCAATTTTCAGCCATGAAATTCACTTCACTCACCACTATGATCATCTCTGCCGCAGCGATGGCTGGCGTAGCCATCGCATCCGAGGATCTGACGGTATCGCCCTTGAACCTACCCTGCCACACAACTGGTGAGCGCTTTTGTTGCCTACAGTGCAGACCTTTGACCACATGCTGATGGCTATCCACTGATGAAGTGGGGTGCTCAAACATGAAAGGTTTCAATCACAGCAACGATTTTGGGTTTTACTGTCTCAATGACAAAATCTATAAGTTTATGGCATGCATGGGTGGAACTAAATGTCATATCACCAGTGGGACTACGTTCTTATGTTCATGAGCGCTGAGCCTTGAGGCTTGCTCCACTCCACAGTACCTGGGTGAGCCTGTCGTTGTCATTGTCTCCTGAAGCTGAGTGCTGATGTACTTGTTTTTACCAGTGCATGGAACAATGAGTATGATGCTTGCGGGAGGGCGTAAAGGAGTACTGATGACATGAAGTTCTGGAGTTTATTGAATCCGGTCATGATGAAGAAGATAGGATTTATAACAACTTTTGTATAGTCAAATTGACGTCAAATATGTTTTCCCGAGTTTCCATGCACTCTGATTCTCTGAAGTCAAACAATATCTGCACAGGCATCATGCCGAATGAGCTCCCTGCGATGTACAATTTGATGCTACGGTCGTTGGAATCCGGATACATGTGGGGACAATAGTGTGGTCATGTCACTTGCGATGCAGTCGTAGTACGGTGTCGACGGAAGAGGTAATGTGTTGCCCCATCCAGATCCTCTGCTCGACCAGCATCTTCTTCACGGCATCTATAGCATGGTTGAGTGCCGCGGCTGCCTCTGTACAGTGCACTGTGCATGCCACCAGCCTTCTTGAAATCCTTGAACAGAAAGCTCCACCCATAGCACGCCAATATGGCCCATAAAACTGAAATCAAACTGCGAGGTTGATGTATCTGATTGATGTGTCTTCTCATCGCCATCGGCGGTACAACACGCTGATGGGAATGTGAATTCGGTGTGTGGAGCATTGTTCTCGAGTCTACCTGCCTGTGTGGCTTCGTCGCCAGAAATATTAGTGAACATGATGTTGAGGGGAACAAGTCTGAGGACAAGCTCGAGCTCGCTGTCAACCAGTGGGGACATAGTTCGCGCCCAGAGCGATCTGCCTTCGTTCGAGAGGAATGAGCTGTGTGGAGAGGAATGGACATGAACACTGCCTTAGGACAGATTTGAGACTGGCATCCCCGTAATTTCAGGTCACACTTGACAATGGGTAGCATGAAGTGGTGAAATGTTGCAGTAGTTGAACTCGCTGTTGCCCACAGCGAGCACGAAGGTTTCGGCAATGTGTGGCGAACAAACCTGCTGTGACATAGAATATTGTTAGGTGTGCTTTGTATATACAATATGTACAGTGGACTATGAAAAATGCATGCGGCATGACGGCAAATCAAGCCGTCACCAAAGATCAACCATAATAAGTCTCCACAAAAACTGAAATGCGAGACTGAAGGCCCGGGGAAATATCGAGTGTTGTCAAATTTGGGGTCACAGATGCAGTGTTCTGCCGGTCAGTGACCTGCAGTGTTGTGTTTGTTCACTGAATGCAAAGTAGTGGGAAAGTCGATGACCGTTGGCAACGTTCACTTGATCATGAATGTGTCGACCCCCATGAGTCCTTGTATATTCTTTATATATGGTGCACGTCACTTAGACACCACCAATTGTGTGCTAATGTCCTACCATCTTGAAAAAATGTCAGAATTTTAATTACTCTTACCAAAACATTCCTTTCGATGAGATGAACAAAACTGTAAGAGCGATTTTCAATCTGACTAAATTTGACAGAGATAATTTTTTTGTCGGCAGTCAGATTGTCCACTTGTTATCTACCCTACTGACAGTCAATCAAAAAGTTGTGCTACAGTCTCCGGAACTCATCGGTGGGACTTGTACTTGGTTGAACTGAACTGCTGGACCTTCAGCTGTGCATCTTTGGTCCCAAGCCCCGACCGATAGGCATCCAACCACCTGTGAGCCCGATGCTCCCATAACCGGATAGTCTGCAACGAAACGGATGCCAATGCTCGTGGCATGTTAGCCTTCAACCCATCGAACGTGCAGTCAGTGTTTATGAAGGTATCTCTTGACCTTTCCCCAGAAGAACTCGATAAAGTTCAGCTCGCAATGGAACTTTGGTAAGAATATGCAAAGATGACCGGCATTCTCGATGATCTCCCGAACGAGTGAATGTTGCTCCTGAAAGTCAGGCTGCAATTCCAGTATGCGCTTGTTGCAGCAATGAGTAGCATCTGCCTCGCACTTTGATTTGCATTTCCCGCACCGGTGCTCGTACAAGCCACGTTCAGTCAGAACGGCCTTGACACCCTTTGGTTTGCCAGGATGTTCCAGATGGTCGGGTGGGAATGACATTTCCTGCTCGACTCATATGCCATCTTGGATAAACCACCCATTCCGCATGCTGGCCTGTTTCCCCCCTGGATGAATATTCATTCAGCTGACAAGAAGCGCATCCTCAGCATATGCAGAATGTCCTTGAGAGTTGTCGATGAGAAATAGTGCTTGATATCCAGGACCGTGAGCACGCTCAAATGTGGGGATGATTTTCTCAGTAAGCTGGGAGTGAACAAATGGGACATTTTCATACAGGCACAGCGATTATGACAAACCTGAGTGCAGAAATTCTCACCGCACCAATAGCCTTCGTGGTTCTTGCCATATTCCATTGTTTCTCCTGCTTCGATTAAATGACCAACTGTGGAACAGATGACATCACTTCAGTGAAGTCCACGACCTGCTCCCTTTTTCTGCAGATGGAATTCATCCTCAAAAACCCAATACTGGCCAACTGCATCATTGGCTTGTGCTGTCAATTTGTCGTGTGCACAGAGAACCAAACAATGTTCAACATAATTTGACAGATTGGCTGGCACTTCAGTATCAACGTCGCCAACAGCAAATCGAACCAATCTGGATTCACAGGCCTTCATAAATGGCAAGAACTGTTGCTGGCGATAGTGGATTACATCTGGATGGTCATGCCCATTGAAATAAAGACCCTTCCGGTGTTTGAGGAAATGAAAACCTTTGCATTGAAACCATCAACGAGCGGTGCTCAGTGAAATGCCTCGGCCAACCTTCAGATGGTTACGGGAAATATTTCAAGCTCCATGTACTTCTTCAGACCACGCAGCATCTCCTCCTCAACAAGGTTTTGTGTGTATTTTGTGGCTTCAGCAGGGATAAGCTTATCTTGTGAGAGTTGAATGAGCTTTTCTGGATTTACGACCCATTTGTTTGAGTGGACATATGCACGCAGCTTGGTGGCAATCGTGGGATCACCGAGAAGGGAGTACACCTTCACATGTCAACCTTATAAAGATTCAGGGAGTTTGCAATCTGCCACCCACAGCCTGGTCCAGCTGCGCACTTGGCGGCCACCCCAGTTTGCAGCAAATCCATGACTTTCCGCTGCCCTCTGTGATGCATCGATGGAGAGCCGTTTCATCTTGATGACCATCGTGAGGTAACTCTGGATTGAGCATGCACATTTTGCCTGCAACCCATTTGGACCTCCAACAAACACCATTTTTTTTGCCTTCAAAAGCTTTTCTATTGAAGTCAATGCCTTCTTCATCTCATCAAGTCGAGTTTCCTTCACCAGCCTTCTCTGCTCACAGTAAGGTACATTGAGCTTGCGCCATTTCAATGGCAGAACAGCTGGCTGATCACCGTCGCTATCATCACCATCAGATTCTGTCCCATCATCTGACTTGTCGGAGAGGTAACGCAATCCATGACTGGCTAACTCGAAGTCAGGTAAGTTTCGAATTCTGGGGCTGACGAGATGGGGAGGGTGCATAAAATCTGGGGCAGTCCAAACATTTTGCGCATAAGCATAACTTGTGGATCATCTCTGACGAATGATGAGTAACTCAGATGTTATTCATTGTTCAAACCTCAAAACTCACAATGTTTTCCTCTTTTCACGGTACTCCACAAGCTCTCTTGCAGCCTTGTCATGCCTCCCCTTTGTTTGGCCCGAGTGGCCATTATATCCAAGTGCCCTGTTCCATTCTGCCTTCTCCCATTCTACCGCTGTCTTCTTCTCGAACATGGGAATAGTTGGCATTGGGTGACCATGAAAACTTTCAGCCTCGGCTCTGAGAGCAGCCAAGTTTTCCTCCAAATCATTGCCCCCAAATTCACAAAGGCTTTCATCGTCAGACCATTTGCTCTCTGATGTGTCCGGTTCATATTCCGAATCACTGCCTGAGTAATCTGCATTGACACCACCCAGGTATCCACAGTCAGACTCCAAGTTGTCGTCCAAGTCAATTTCTATCGGGACATGTGCTGTGCTGTGTGACCCCATGTCATGCACACTTGAGCCTTCGTGTTCAGCATCAATGATGGGGCTATGCTCTGCTTGTGAACGAGACGGAGAAGTGGGCTTATTGGGCCAACGAGCTGCATGAGCCTGAGTAGCTTTGATATTGTTGTTTCTTTTGGTCATTGTACCAGTGAAATGTGGATTTGAAAGGGCCAGTCACTCCACACCATACGCAAATCATATTGTGTACTTAGGTTGAATCCTACGACAACAATATCAAAACAGATTCTCCATCCTCCGCGTCGACTTTGGCAGCGGCTTGTAGGGGTTACCATAATAGGCTAGGGGTTAGGGTTAGGTTTACAAACTTTGAGTCAATTTGGCCTCTGCACACAATTGGTGGTGCCTAAGTGACGCGCACCATAGCAACTGAATGAGGGGGGGCCCTTGACTCTGAACCACCACCATGGTCATATTTTCCCACGCATGAAAAACTGCAGGCAAGGTAGAGCCAACAAGGCTCGCAGCTAACAACTGGCCATACCCACCTGAACCACTACAATAATTACACCGGATAACAAAACAATACCCACTACACATAAGAACCCCATCAAACTGAATCACAATCCAATACCTGCAGCACTTGAGAGCAACACCAACACCCCCACCAACCATCACAACTGCAAAAACAAAAACACGCCCAAACGTAAAACAACAGCCCTCAAACAATAATAAAAACACAAAAACTCCCCCAACACGAACAACGAAACTCTGAGAGCCCTACCCAGAAATGAAACTGCAGACACCACAATGAACCCACAAGTATACTGACCCCTCAGAACAAAAACTCCTCACCCCAACACCCCAAACTAAACACACAGAAAAACCCATCGAAAAAGACTCTAATAATCACTAATACTGTGATATCATCCAATCACGAGCCTAATAAACATGCACACGTATAAAACCCTGCAAGAACAAACTGAAATGACCCTGACTGACAAAACAAACCCGCAATAACCACTAAAATTGTGGTATACAGACTAACACACTGCCCAATGCCAACTAAACCTCCCATGATATGTCAGATCAACAACACTCCACCGCCCCCAAAACCCCTAACAGGGAAAACACCTCCTAACCACCGAGATAAACCAACCTGACCTGCCCTATCCCCAGAACCTCGACAAATATAAAAACCTAGTCGACACCCCATCCAACACCCAGCAAAACATGAGAGATACCCAGCCATCCTCCATCAAATCCCTCTCTCAATCCCTCTGCCCATACCCCAACAATACACGCCCCAACCCCTCCACCCCACACACTGGGCCGCTCTTCTTCCTGCAAAATGTTCTCTGTGAAGACAACAACATGGATCTCCATCCCAATGAAGAACCCACCTTGCAAACACCTCCCTCCCCCACATCACCCACCTCCCCACCTACCCCAACTCCCACTGCGAGAACACTTCATGCACCCCCCCCTCCTATAATCCCCATTACCATGTCAGACCCACAGCCCCCCACAACTAAGGATGCCCACCCCGTAGAAGGGAGCAACCTAGCTGTATCAATCCATGCGCCCAATGCACCAGCGGAAGACCATAACATGCGCTCAACTTCTCACCATCTGAGGAAGACCAGGCCATCCTGGCCCACATTGCCCTCAAGGCCATCCTGGCCGGGCCTGAAACTCAATGTAACGTGAAATGTTGACCTATAAGACAGGTTCAAAGGAGACACGAACTGTCACCAGAAAGACTATCGCCCACATCTACTGATCATGAAAACAAGACAGGAAAGCGAAAGTTGTCTCACCACACATGGTGTATACCAGACCACAGAAACCTATTCAGGTTCAAACGAGCCGTGCCGAGAGGCTGAAGTTTTCACTAGTAGATGATACAAATGTTTTGGGCACTCAATATCCCTCAAAAATGCTAACATAGTCCACTGACAACTGACCAGGATACGCCAGTCCTAAGCTACGACATGATCGTAAGATAGCATTAGTAACACAATCACGCAAAACCCTCAACACAACGTGCCCCCTCAATATGGTCTTTTTTCTGGTTTTGGTGCTTGCCCCCTGAGGCAAGGAGGAGGGCTGCCTCAAACCACTGGGAGGCCCTCTGATGACCCTCCTCAGGGTTTCAGAAGTGGAAACGCCCAACACCAAGGGCAACAACACCCCCAAAACTCAAATAACATAATCCCCCCCCAGCCCCAACAGGCACATGAACCAACAAGACTAAGCAACACAAACACAAGCAAGAAAACGAGAGTGAACATAACCATAGGCACTCTCAACATCAAAGGATGCGCATCCAACAAACTAGGCCCAGGCCAAGTATCTAAATGGCCTGCTGTCAATCAAACCATGCAAGAAAAGAAGATCGGCATACTCTGCCTCCAGGAAACCCACCTAACCACAGAACACCAAACCCAGATAGAAACACTGTTCTGGAGAAGACTAATGGTCCTAAACACAAATGACCCCACCCGCCCTGGAAACTCAGCCGGAGTAGCTTTTGTCCTAAACAAAGAACTCACCAATACCGCCTCAGCCAAAATGAAGACTCTAATCCCAGGACACGCAGCCACACTCTCCCTAAAATGGCACAATAATGAAAACATAAACATCCTAAACGTATATGCACCAAACAACACAAGTGAACACCCCTCCTTCTGGGAAAAAGTAAAAACAGAATGGCAAAGATGCGACATTGGACAAATAGACCTCATGGCGGGTGACTTCAACCTCACAGAAGACCCCATCGACTGAGCACCCACCCACCTCGATAATGAAAGAGCAATAGACGCCCTGAGAGACCTGAGATCAGCTCTAAACATGCAAGATACATGGCGGATGTCATACCCCCAACACAGAATATTCATGTTCAGCAGCAACCACAATACCCTGTCCTGCCTAGATAGAATATTCTTGTCAGATAAACACACTGAGAGCCTTATAAACTGGGACTCACAAATTTGCCAAATCCCTACCGACCACCACATGGTCACGGTAAGGTTTGCACCACCAAACCTCCCACACATTGGTACCGGCAGATGGTCATGGCCAATGGGAATAATATCAGATGACACACTTCAAAAAAACATCATCACATTAGGTATTGAAACACAACAAAAAATAATAGAGAACGAACAAAGGAATGAGGATGCAAACCCCCAAATAATCTGGGAAAAATTCAAAGACGACATGATCAACCTTGCTAAAAAAAACCGCAAAGACCCACCTCGCCAGAATCAACCAACATATAAAGCGACTGACAAAAGACCTACAGAAAACATTGAACATCAGAGATATTGACACGTCAGAGGACATGAGACTGAATAGAATCATACTGGAAAAAGAAATCAAACATCTACAAAAAAAAGATACAAAAATGCAAACCTTAGAGCATGGGCCCAATGGGTGAAACACAGCAAGACGATAAGTAAATACTGGTCCAAAGTGAACAGTCAAAAGACACCGAGAGATACCATTAACAGACTAAACATACCTAACACCAATAGATACACAACAAAGTCTGAGGAGATGGCCAAAACCGCCAGAGACTATCACGACAAAATTCAACAGCAGGAAACATCAGAACAAAACAAATGCACCAGACAAGAAGCAAAAACAGCATTGATGAGAGAAATACCAGAAACACAAAAACTCAACACACCAACAAGCAAAATGCACGGACCACTACAAGAAGACCACATCCTGAACGCACTTCTATCATCAAAATCGGGAAGTGCAGCCAGCATAGATGGAATCCCATATGAAGTATGGAAAAACCTAAATGAAAAACAATCAAACTTCACACTAGGCTGGATGTGCCCAATCTATATAAAAAAGACCGCAATATGATCGAGAACTATCGCCCAATCACACTACTAAACACAGACTATAAAATCTTCACTAAAGCACTTGCAATACATCTCGCAAAAGAAATACATACCCTGATACACCCCAACCAAAGTGGGTTTATCCCAAAAAGATCCATCTTTGACCCAATAAGACTAGCACAGACAATGATGGCCTATGCAGACCTGATGGAAGAAAATGGGGCGATAATAGCACTCGACCAAGAAAAGGCCTATGACAAAGGAAAACACAACTACCTTTTTGAAACCCTCGAAACCTTCAAACTACCACAAATCTTCGTCAACACAGTAAAGAACCTATATAAGTCGGCATATGCACAGGTAGCCATAAACGGCTTCCTCAGCTCACCCTTCAGAGTCACAAGAGGGGTGCGTCAAGGTGACCCCCTATCATGCCTGTTATTTGATTTAGCCATAGAGCCACTCACATGCGCAATCTGCAACTCAACTAAAATCAGAGGATATGAGGTCCCCGGCATACCAGACAGTGTAGTAGTCACCATGTACACAGACAACACTACAATCTATCTATCCCAAGCGGATAGATACACAGACCTAGAAGAAATTCTACAGCACTGGTGCCTAGCATCAGGCGCCAAATTTAACCTAGAAAAAACAGAAATATTACCTATTGGAACAGCCGACCACAGATCAAATGTAATACACACACATAAAATAAACACCCTGGATGAACTGTGGCAAGAACCAATCAAAATCGCAAAAGACAGAAGTCCAATAAGAACCCTCAGTGCATGGATAGGTAATAACATAGAAAATGCAACATCCTGGGAGCCTGTACTAGGAAAGATTGAGAAAAACCTCGCGCGCTGGAACAAATGCCACCCCACCTTAGACGGGAAAAGACTCATTACTCAAATGGTTGTCAGGGGGATGACCCAATTCCTGACAAAAGCACAAGGAATGCCCCAACAAATAGAAAACACTATATCAAAAATAATCAAAAACTTCATATGGGACGGGAAAAAAAACCTCACCTATTAGCCTGGAAAGACTGGAACGCCCCATATCTAAAGGGGGCATCAACCTACTAAACATCAACACGAGAAACGAAGCAATAGACATCATATGGCTAAGCTCCTACATGGACATTTCAACGTCATGCCCAACATGGGCCTCTGTAACTGACAATATAATTAACACCTTGAAACCAAGTGGGACCAAGAATGATGCAGACCTAATCCCCTTCCTAACATCATGGAATCTGCCTGTCCAAGGCCCAAAAGCCAATAAATTACCGAAACAAATAACAAACATGCTCAAAGCTGCCTGCAAACACAACATAAGTTTCGCACTGCTAAAAATATCCAAAGACCTCAAGGATCAACTGCCAGCATGGGTACACCTAGGAGCACCCCAAAAAACATACCATAAAACAAAGAATGAATGCCTAAAATGAACCCACAAAGTCGAGTCCATCAAAGACATAAGATCAACCTCAGTGAGACTCCTAGAAAGAAGGCAACACCGCACACACCACAACTGCACATGTACCGAATCCTCCAATGACAGAACAGCTGGATGCAAGAACCTGCACAAATGCACAACAACCGCTAGAAAGATACTAGATAACCTCCTCCCGAAATTCAATCCAAACACATCGCCTAAGAAAGATGACTTAACACTAACACACCAAAGACTAGAGAAAAATGCACAAGCAATGAGACAACAACAAGGCGAGATCCTCTTCAACCCATCGGTAACAGAAAAGAACAACCTATCTGAATGCTTCCACATTTTTGTTGACCCGGAAAGAGAAATCCAATTACCAGCATATAGACTTAAGATCCCTGCAATGAGAAGATTAATGAACAACAACAAAGTAGTGATATACACAGACGAATCCTGCACCAACAACGGAAAAGAAAATGCAAGATGCGGCGGTGGAATATGGGTAGAAGAGAACCACCCGCTAAACCGTGCAATCAGAATCCCCGGCCCAGACCAGTCAAACCAAGTAGGGAAAATAGCAGCTGTGCTAGTGGCACTACAAACAATAAGTCTGACAACTCCAATAACAATTATCACCGACTCACACTACATTATTAATGGAATGACCTCTGTTAGGTACCGTGCCGACTCAGGAAGCAGAGGGGTCGGGGCTTGGCTTCAGCTCTTGCGCTGTGCCCTTAGCTGAGTATGTGCCCCAAATTTGGAGTGGGTCCGACATTGTCCAACAATAGGACGAGTGGACCGCTTGGGTCCGCTTTGAGGGTCGGGGAGTAAGAGTTACTAGCAGCAGGCCGACTAGGAGCGGAGCTGTCATATACCTGATCCGACCGCTCCGATATTGATATCCACTCCGCTTTCCGACCCCCTCCGCTCCATCCATCCTCTGCTCCATGCTATCACAAGCCCGCATTCCACCCTGCACTTCCGCTCAACCGCTCAACCGGTCCCCTTCCATAATCTCTCCATTCAACTGGATCTCTTTCCCCTTTTAGATATATACTTTCCCCTTTGGTACATAAACCCTTACTTCCAGATCACCGGTATTTCCTATTACCGCTCGATCACTGATCTGACGCGTACATATTGATATCCGCTCCGACTTATGTCTTCGCCTGTGTAAAGCACTTACAAACTATATCCTTGGTACATAGCTTTACAACATAGTTATCCTGGTCACTGCCTCATACATAGTAGTATATAACATATCATGTACTTAGATATTTTCCTTAGTCTTAATATTACTTGTCTTCTTGCAGTTACCTCTTGTGAGAATTCTCAGTAGGACCTTGCCTCCTCTGGACACAAGTCTCAACTTGCTGTCACCTCCGACCCTCCGCTCTGACTTAGAGCCGTGCTCTAAGTCTTTCCCTTATACTCTGCCCCTATCAACTATCCTCCCTTGTCCCTCCACATTATCCTCTGCCTTTCCCACCCCTACCAAACATTCCCCTGCTCCTATCCACCCTCCACATCACTCCCCGCCTTCTCTGCTCCGCTCCTAGTCGGCCCGCCGCTAGTAGCTCTTACTCCCTGACCCTCCAAGCGGACCAAAGCAGTCCACTCGTCCTACTGTCGGACAACGTCGGACCCACTCCAAATTCAGGGCACGTACTTGGCTAAGGGCGCAGCACAAGAGCTGAAGCCAAGCCCTGACCCCTCTGCTTCCTGAGTCGGCACGGTACCTAACAGGAGCGGAGAAGGTGGGGAGTGATGTGGAGGGTGGACAGGAACAAGGGGAATGTTTGGTAGGGTCGGGGAAGGTGGAGGATAATGCGGAGGGACAAAGGAGAATATTTGATAGGGGCGGAGTAATAAGGGAAAGACCTAGAGCACGGCTCTAAGTCAGAGCGGAGGGTCGGAGGTGACAACAAGTTGAGACTTGTGTCCAGAGGAGGCAAGGTCCTACTGAGAATTCTCACAAGTAGTAACTGCGAGAAGACAAGTAATATTAAGACTAAGGAAAATATCTAAGTACATGATATGTTATATACTTCTATGTATGAGGCAGTGACCAGGATAACTATGTTGTAAAGCTATGTACCAAGAATATAATTTGTAAGTACTTACACAGGTGAAGACACAAGTTAGAGCGGATATCAATATGTACGCGTTGGATCAGTGATCAAGCGGTAATAGGAATTACCGGTGATCCGGAAGTAAGGGTTTATGTACAGAAGGGGAAAGTATATATCTAAAAGGGGAAAGAGGTCCAGTTGAATGGAGATGTTATGGAAGGGGACCGGTTGAGCGGTTGAGCAGAAATGTAGGAGCGGATGCGGATGATGATTGGGCGGAGCAGAGGATGAATGGAGCGGAGGTGATCAGAAAGTGGAGCAGATCTTGATATTAGAGCGGTCAGATCAGGTATATGACACCTCCCGCCTCACTACCTGGGAAGACCAAGGATGGATCGACATCACAAATAAACAACTATTCAGGGCCATCTCATACCAACTATGGTGGCAATCAGCCCCAACTGCCTTCCAATGGATAAAAGGCCATAGTGGAAACCTAGGAAATGAAAAAGCAGACCAATTAGCTAATGAAGGCACACAAAAAAATGAATATGACGACATCAAAACCTACATCCCAATAAACTTCGACCTTCAAGGCATGAAGCTAACAGCCATCTCACAACAACTGGCATACAAAGGAATCATGGAAAAAACACACCTAGAATACAAAAGATCAACCCTATCCCTACTTGACATCACCCGATATGCTGTACAAAATGTGTCATCTATGCTTGAGTCTGATAAAAGCATATGGACCAGCTGCCGAAATGAAGACCTTCAAAAAAAAATACAAATGTTCATATTTAAAATGCTCAACAACTGCATACTGCATAGGGGACTTCTGGATGAAGATCCCAAACCTCGAACAACAAGCAAGATGCCAACACTGCGGCAAAAACCCAGAATCTATGGAACATATATTAATCACCTGCAAAAACCTGGAAAAAAAGAGAATATGGGAACTAGCAAAAAGTGTGTGGCCCGAAAAAACACAAACAATGGCCAACCCCCACTCTAGGACTTGTCCTGGGGTGTGGCGCAATCACCTTCCTGCATACCCCAAATGAAAATGACAACAACAAAGAAAATGTGAAGAAAGCTGCGAATAAAAAGGGGGGCAGCTAGACTACTCCGCATCCTAATCTCGGAATCAGCATACCTCATCTGGACCCTGAGATGCGAAAGAGTAATCAAAGAAACATCACACAGCAATGAAGCTATCACAAAATGATGGACCAACACAATAGACAGAAGACTACAACTAGATAGAGCAATAGCGAGCAAGGACAGAAGAAGTCAGAAAGCAATAACGCAAGTCTGCAACACATGGAACAATATAATCAAAACAAACACAAACACACCCCTACAAAAAGACTGGGTGACAACCCTAGAGGTTTTAGTGGGTATTAAGCTACCCAGGCCCCCTGCAGAACGAGGATACCAGGTAGCGTACAGAGCCCCACACTACTCTATGACAATAGAGTGTGCATTAGTAGCATTTTTTCTTGGATGACACCCCATAGTGTCGCTATAAGCGTTTTATGTAGAGCCAGATAGGTGTCGGTTGCTATATAATAAACTCGCTTTTCCAAAAAAAAAAAAAAAAAAAGAAAAGAAACTGAATGATACAGTTCAATTCATATCTGAATGGTATAGATAATAACATCGAGTGCGCAACTACTCATGTCCAGATGCATGTCTAGCTACATATGAACAAACATCACATTGTCTCACATGTCCTTGCCTTCTTTGCTGCATCTGGTAGTGTTATCAATCAAGGTGAGTTTTGCATCCAAGCTATGATATATTAATGCAAACTCAACTGCGCAATAGTAATCAACACTCGTAATAATCCATGTGGAATCCTTGTGCCCCCACTTATATGGCTTATTGTGGCTCATGGTGCGAAACACAGCACCTGCTCTTTTTTCTTGCTCTCGTCCATTGCCATTCCGCAACTGTTGTCCTATGGCCAGCGGCAAGAAGAAGACTTGGAGTACTAATTGTGGCTGGTGGTGGACAGAATTTACAGAACACCCCAGCTATAAGAGTTCAGAACCGACATCAATGATGCAGCAGAAGGCTAAAGTAATCTGCACCAGACAGCTCAAGTATTGCGTTATGGCAGAGCGGGCTCGTGATGAACTTGAGGTACAGTTTGGATCGCGGGATCATGTATGAGATGAGCAGGCGATTAAGGGAGCAGGTAAGCTTAAATTGTACCATCTATTTATTTCTAACACTTTCTATTGTAGTGTGGGCTACTGGCCAGCATGATCCGCAACAGATTTGGCATGTCAGTCATCCAAAAACACTCATGATGCATATCTGGGACTGTGAGCTACATATGGAGAGTGTTCAGTCACGTGTGTGAGGTGACCTTGTAGCGCATGGCTCACCCAACAAATCTACTCGCTCCAATCAAGTGATGCAACCCATGGCGGTACATGCTACACTGTCCATGCCTCAGTTGCACAACAATTCTTCTCAGATTGTGGGACTGTCCTCAGCTCCACATTCACCAGCTCTCAGTCTCTTTATTCCAGGTCTTTTGGTGCTGTCTCCAATTGCCAGTGGCTCTTCAGGCTTGTTATCTTTACCGAGCCTGCTGGCATTTGATTCTCATGCACCCAGTCCCACAATTTCTGATATCATGCTCCTTTTGCTTCCGTCAAAGCGCCAGTGCCTGACCAATTCAGGTACATATTGCTCTGTTTTGCAGCCTGTTGCTGCTGGATCTGTCTTGTCACCATTTGTCAGAGCTCACTGGTCAACCAGCCAAACTTGGACCAATGCTGATCAAGCAGATTTGGAAGCAGGGTTAGCATGGGTAACTGTGAGTGCAGGATTGCCACTGCGATGGGTTGAAAATCCAGAGTGGTTGAGACTTTGTGATAGGTTTATTCTTTGAGCGAAAGCACCGTCGGCGAAGGTTCTTATGAAACATGTCATGCCTCAAGTCCTTCATGGTATCAAAGCCACTGTGAAAGAAGAATGTTGTGGTGCAGTCGGAACACTGCAATGTGATGGCTGGACTGGTGAGAATAGCCATCATTTGCTTGGTTTCATGATGACCGTAAAATGAAAGGTAAGCTGTGGACATTTTTATGACCTTTAAACTAACTGCTTTGTCTTACAAGCTGCATGCTGTCCATGTTCACGATGCATCTGGTGACTCACGCAATGCTGAAGAACTCCTGAAGCAGATTATTGAATCAATCAATCAAGTTGAGAGCAAGTGGGGAGTGATTATTATTGCACGTACTACTGATGCATCTGGAGAATCTTGTAAGGCTTGGCGACTCCTTCGCACCAAATTTCCGCACTTGGTAACACCTGACTGCCTAGCTCATCAGGTAGGTCATTGATGTGAGAATAGTATGTGAGTTAGCTTCATCTATTTTACAGTTCAACCTTATTGTGGGGGATCTCTTCAAAGCCAAGGATGGCTATGGGCAGTATGGTGACCTCGCACAGGAGTTGATTACATGGCTTCATAGCAAAACCCACATTCTTGCACTCCTTCACGAATTGCAAATGTCGACCATGGAAAAGACATTGGCCATCATTTGTGCTGTTCTTACTCGATGGTTGTCACATTATTTAGCATACTGGCGACTTTTAGATGTTTGACCATCACTAGAGCTATTGATAGCAAAGCACGAAGCAGAGATACGGTCTACAGGTAATGCTTGTTCACGAGCAAAGACCTCAGCCACCATTGCAACAATCAAAAATCCAACATTCTGGCATGCAATGGCTCGGTGGGGATATTTCCTTTTTCCTTGGGACATAATGTAATTTTGACTAACATTGCACTACCATTTAGATGGAAAAACCTTTTGGAGCCAATTGCCCTGATGATGAATGTTCACCAAGCTGCCCACTTGAAACCTGAGCATATTCCAATCTCATTTGGGTTTCTCTACTACCGCTACTCAAGAGTTGGTGACGAATCTGACCTTGTGGCTTGAAATGCAGTCTTGGAGAGTGCTGAGCATCACTGGGCTCAAGTTGATCAAGAAGTTTTCATTGCTGCTGTTATTGTTGACCCACTCTACAAAGACAAACCATTCAAAAATATTCCTCTGACAACATGTGCTGGGCTAATGTCCCTCTTCAGTCGCCTCTGGACACATTTTTATGGTGGAGTGCCACCACTTGAGCTTTTTACAGATCTCGATAACTATTTAAAAAGTTCGCCTGAATTCCAGCCACTTGACATATATATGCAAATATTAGTATCTCGAGCGAAGGACCAGGTAATTCATCTACTACAGCTGTGTTCCTCCACGTCTGACCTATTTCTGCATACAGGGCACATCAGTTGATCCTCTTGATATTTGGGATGGATTTTTGCACAGCAGCTCTGAAATCAAGCCCCTCCAGAAAATTGCTCAGCAAATTCTCTCCATTTGTCCAAATTCTGCTTCATGCAAGCGTCTTTTCAGCATCTTCAGTGCAATCCTCACAAAATGGCAAGATCAACTTTCCACCCAGAATCTTATGCTACTTGCAGAGTTGAAGATGTACCTCCATAAGGAACATGTTCACAAAGAATCTGTCAGGAAGTGGCTCAAACGGCGCTACTGCCAGAATACCACCAAGGTCAACCCTGCGGAGGATGATACAAATCCCTTTGGCGGTCCCCAGCAGACAGGTAGCAAAGTTGATGAGCACAAAGGGCTACACCAAATTGCCACACACTTGATTCAAGCTGTCAAGGATGAGGAGTCATTCACAACCTCCAAGATTATGGAGGTAGTTGCTAATCCTTCAGACTTCCAGCGAGTTCCTATCAAAGATCTCTTTGATTTCTCTCGTGCTCAAGATTGGCTAGGATCTTTCTACCAAACGGCCATTCAAGGCTTAGATGCTGAGATTAAGTTATACAAGCTGTTGGATTTGGATGCCAACGGTATTGACAATGCAGAATTTCCTCAGGCAGATGACCTTTTGTATGAGTAAGATTTAGCGAGTTCTCAGTTAGGCAGGCCTTAGCCAATCAGATATGATTATATAATGTTTTCCCTTGGACTCCTGGTACCATAGCTATTCACATTCACCGACTTTTGTGAATGTTCGGTGACCGGCCAAACACTGCACAGACAACTGAATGAATAAGAATGTCTTGCTTGTGGCCTCACTTCAGTTGAGAGACACTAATTTTGTGAGCAAGGGAAATGCGAATGGATGCAGTATTTGAAGGGCCAATGGTGTGCCAGGCATGCTGGCGGGAATCTCCACCAGCTAGCTTTTCACACAGACTGGGCATCTGAGATACGCACAAAGTTCTGCCTCATTTTTCCATATCTAAATGCTCAGATGGTTGGTGTACACGTGTGATTGGTGCTAATATAAGGCAGCAAGTTTGTATTGTACAATCTTGATAAAATTTTCCCTCCTAACATGCCAACGATAAGGGGATTCCAAGATGATGAAGGACGAGACTGGTGGTGAAAATATTTTGACACCCACCCCTTATATTCTCAGAAAGCTGATGAGTCATATGCAAACCCCAAGGAAAGACGTCCAAAGGTGATGTGTAAATTGTGTTGGACTGCACAGATCATCGACGAGCAGCATTGCAATTGGGATGCACTGCAACAGGGGCATATCAATGAAGTACAAACACAGGACCAGATTCTGACATCAAGTGTGTCCTCAACTGATCTTCCCCGAATTTTGGCTTACTTCCTCCTTATTAAAGTGTGGGCACATGAAAAGGCCAAGGGACAACTTGAAAATTGTCCATGGATTCAAGGATGGCCTGAGACCATGTGCACTCATTTAAAAAATTGCCAGAGACAGCCAGAGGATGTGCATGAACAGGCATATGCATTATGTGTTTCATGCAGTTGGATAAAAGGCCCACCAGGTGCTCGTAGTATCAGCCTAAACACCCCCTCCAGCAGGTGGTTGGTCTTCCACTGCAGACACTGCCAAATCTTCACTTTCATGGTGCAGGGATGAATCGTGACATAGTGTCATGAATTCCTAATACAAACCATTTTTCATTTCTCGGTTTTCCTTCGGCTACTTCCAGTAACCAAACCAGTCACATGACTCCCTACACTTTTACACTTTCACACCATCACCAAATCACCTCTTCACCACTTCACATTTCACCTATCACATCTCCGATCAGATCCCCTATGCCCAGGGCTAGAACCATTCCATTACCAATCACTTAATCTCTGCTATGACCTCATCACTTATATATCATGACATCATCATATGTCATCTGCACTATTGTACGACTCTTTTCCCATTGGCTGATTTGTTTCATACTCAGTTATCTCCAATTCAATGTTATGTATATAGTCTAGGTAATTAGTGTAGTTACTCCTTAGACTTAACCTCTTTGTTCCTACCCAGTGTAAACTCAGACGTTCACTCTCAATACTATCATCTTTCTCTTAACTTGACGAGTCCTAGTGGTTGTGTGAAACCTTTGCCATTTGATGAACATTGATCATAACACATAGACTCCATGTCCACAAGCCAATTTTGTGTTCCTCCTTTGTTCTCATTGAGTTTTCCCTTGGCCAGTGGGTCCGGGATGAATTCCGCCCCTCAGGCTAGTACTAGTGCGAGTAATTGGCAAGCACTGACACCAAACTATCAGCCAGGCTCAGTACTGCTGCAATATACCCAATCACTATATTTTAGCGCCCACTCGCTGTATCCACGGTCCAATACTCCAATGTCCAACTTGTCATCAGCATCTGAGTCACCAATCGGACTATCACTTCCACTGGCACATAGCATGTCAAACAGCCTCACACCAATTCTGTTCACAGATGCAGCACATACTTTCCCCTTCGGTACATAGACCCTTATTTCCAGATCACCAGTAATTCCTATTACTGCTCGATCACTGATCCAACACGTACATACTGATATCCGCTCCGACTTATGTCTTCGCCTGTGTAAGTACTTACAAATTATATCCTTGGTACATAACTTTACAACATAGTTATCCTGATCACTGCCTCATACATAGAAGTATATAACATATCCTGTACTTAGATATTTTCCCCAGTCTTAATATTACTTGTCTTCTTGCAGTTACTACTTGTGAGAATTCTCAGTAGGACCTTGCCTCCTCTGGACACAAGTTTCACCTTGTTGTCACCTCCGACCCTCTGCTCCAACTTAGAGCCGTGCTCTAAAGTCTTCTCTTTACTTCTCCACCCCTATCAAGTATTCCCCCTGCTCCTTTCTGCCCTCCACATTATCCTCCGCCTCCTCTGCTCCTATCAAGCATTTCCCCAGCCCCTTTCCACCCTCCCCATTATCCTCCGCCTTCTCCACCCCACTCCTAGTCAGTCCACCGCCATTAAGACCGTGCTCAGTGGTAAAGCGGAGTCTGAGGGGCTTGGCTTCAGCTCATATGCTGCGCCCCTTACCTGAGTACATGCCCCTAATTTTGGAATGTAGTCCGACACAAATTCTAAGGGTTCTGACAGGACGTCGGAATGGGGGTCCTCTGAAGGAGGACCGACGGACTACTAGGTGAGCGTGGGAAAGTCGGGCAGGGTTGTTCCGCATGACAGGAGGGAAGCAGGAGATCACTGTGGTTGGAACCAACAGTAGAAGCGGAGCGGAAGGAACTGCTTGAACGAAGTCCGAAGCAGAGCGGAACGGAGGGGACGGATGCAAGAGTGCAGGGTCTAGTTCTGATGCATGGGAAGTCGGAGAAGTGGGGACGGAGGAACGGGGGGAATGGAGGAGCGGGGGAACAAGGGAATAGGGGAACGGGGAACGGGGGAACGGGGGAACGGGGGAACGGGGGATCGAGGAGGAGGATCGGAGGATCGGAGGATCGAGGATGGAGGATCGGAGGATCGGGTGGGAGGATGGAGGATCGGAGGATCGGAGGATGGAGGATCGGAGGATGGCCGACCTAGGGAGTCAATCCCCTAGGCCAGTTTTAACAGGAGTTGACTAGGATCAGGCCCAAGTCAGAGAACAGAAGAGCAGGGCTTAGAAAAGGTAATATTCAGACTGAGTATCTACAGACAAATGTACATATGTTTATATACTCTAAGTGATGAGCATAGCATAGCAGAAGGCTATGTGCTGAGTGTACAGGAATACAATGGGATGACTGAGACGTACGAGAATAAGGCTCGGGGAACAGTATGTACGCGACAGATCAGAATCAGCTAGGGTATAGGGATTACCAGTGATCTGAAAAGTGGAACTATGATACTAAATGGGGATAGGACCAGTTGAGTGGTTCCTAGTCTAGGAGTGGACCGGTGAGGCGGTCGGACAGACTAATAGTCGGGTGGGGGAATACAAGCAGAACTGAAGGATCCACGCGGGTCGGAAAAGCGGAGGGAGTGGGAGTAGGATCAGGGTGGACCAATAGGGTGGAGGAGCAGGAACCCCAGATAGGGTCGGATGGAAGGGGTATGGGGTCGGAGGACATAGGGGTAGTGTTGGAAGAGTGGAATGGGGTCGGGTGGAGGTAGCAGGGCTAATCCTGCTGAGATGCACTTCATGCATTGTCAGGGAAGGAGGAATGGAGCAGACGGGGAAACAGGGGGTCGGACCAGCAGTAGGGATGCTTATAGGTGGTACTGGGGGTACTTCGGATCCAGGTATATGACAGCTGCTAGTAGCTCTTACCACCCGACCCTCAAAGCGGACCTAAGTGGTCCACTCGTCCTATCGTCGGATAACGTCAGACCCACTCCAAATTCGGGGCACATACTCGGCTAAGGGCACAGCGCAAGAGCTGAAGCCAAACCCCAACCCCTCTGCCTCTTGAGCCGGCACAGTACCTAACAGACTGGAGGAAACTTTTGCCATTTGATTGCATTTATGATAACTGCAAAATGTGAAGTAGGTGCCTAGCAAGTCTTTAATCTTGATGATGCTTCTCAATAGTGTCTAACAGGTTCATACTGTTCGCATAACAGATGTCTCTTTAGAGCAGAAAACAGCTGACCATCTCAAAATGCTCATCCTCGAGGTGGTTAAGGAAGTAGAAGTGAAATGGAAAGCTACAATTGTAGCTATCACATCAGATGCTTCAGGTGAATCCTGGGCAGCCATAAAACAGCTCGTAGATGAATTTCCATGGTTTGTTGCCCCTGACTGTTTTGCTCACCAAGTAAGAATATTCATATACACTACATCTCTGTCTTGAAGACTCATCTCTGAGGCTCGATCTTCCAGGTTAATCTAGTTGTTGGTGATTATTACAAAGTGCCTTCAACATCACTGTTCCTACAGTATATGAAGAAGGCCACTGACCTTATTACCTGGCTTCGGAGCAAGACAATGGTCTTGTCTATGCTCAGGGACATACAAAAGGCCCTGAATGCTGCAAATCCATCTCAAATGCAACAGGTTCTCAGCATAATCCATGCAGTGCTGACATGCTGGACAGCACATTATCTGGCATTTAGGTGTCTACTTGATTTGAGAACTACCCTTGATATCCTTGCCAAACAGGAAAGGGACCACAGCAGTGATGCAAAAATAGTGACAGGTGATGCCACATCTCGATGTAAAGCACAGGAGATGTTAGAATTGATTGAAGATCCTTTGATGTGGCATGTCCTAGCAAAATACTACTCATCAGCCGCTTTAACTGGCTTGTATTGACTTCTTCCTTTTCTCATCAGAATGCTTACTCATATTGGACCACTCGCCTTGGCCATAAATTTTGCTCAGGCTGCACATTGTTGCCTAGATGAAGTCTTGATCATCCTTGGATATCTTGTATCAAGATATCAAGATTTATTAAACATGATGACTTCCACCAATGATCAAATTGGACTTCATGCAATCATTAACTCACTGGAGAAGTGCTGGAGCAAGAGCGATCAAACAGTTTTCATTGCGGCAGTCATTCTCAACCCCCTCTACAAGGCCAAACCATTTGCACAAATCTGTCAATTCACAACTGCTGGCATCACCTCATTATTGCTCAAACTTTGGCAGCGATTTCAGTCCACCCCAGCCCCAGAATCACTTCATCAAGAGATTATCAATTATCTGCAGGATTGAGGTGATTACACTGGCTTCTCTGAGTTGGCTGAAGGTGAACATGTTAAGGTCGTGCTCAAGGGAAAGGTAACTCAAAGGGCTTCGGCTTCAGCTCGTGCGCTGTGCCCCTTACCTGAGTACATGCCCTTAATTTCCGAGAGGCACAGGGGAAGTCCGATGGAAGTTTGGGTAGGTCTGGAGGTCAGATGCAGGGGGAGTTTGGTGGAACTCCGGAAGACTAGAAATGAACAGAGTAAGGCTACTGCAGACAAGTCTGGAGTAGAAGGGGAATAGATTTGGACTACCCTAAGGTAGAGCTGGAGATATAGTCCTAAGGATTAACCCTAAGACTCGGAGTTGGACAAGAGATGAGACTCAAGTCCGGAGAAGCAGGAATGAGCAGAACTAAGATGATATTCGAACTGAGGAGTACTGGAGTGTTACAGGAGTTTATATACTGTAGGTATCATGTAAGTAAATCAGTCAGCAAAGTAAAAGCTATGTCCGAAGCATGTGGAAAGTCTATTAGTAAGTATAACAGATCAAAGCAGTGAAGTCGGAGATGAAGTACAAACAGACGGATCAGTAAGCAAAGCGGAAAGAACATAACCAGTAGCCGGAGAACAGTTATTCTAAAAGGAGATAGTTGCGAGTACAGAGATGAAGGCAGAGCACCAGGCAGACAACAGGACAGAGAGCAGCGGACTTTTGTAGGGGAGATCCGGAATTCCAGATCTGGAGGCACAGGATATGACAGAACGGAATGCTGCTGAACAACAGGTCATTTTTTCTCTCAAATTACCATTCACCTGATTGATGTATTGATATGTTAACTTACAGCATGAACACCCAGATCCTCTCCGAATGTATGAAGGCATTTGTTTTCAGGACCAGCCTCTATCGCCACTCCCAATGCTTGTGCAGCACATTTTCTCTATTTGTGCAAACTCCACATCATGTGAACGGCTGTTCAGCCTTTTCAGTTTGATTCTCAGCAAGTTGTGATCACGTCTCGTGCTTGAAAAAATGCTTGATCTTGCAGAGCTTAGGTTACATTTGCAAGACAAGTACATGCAGAGGGGAAGTGTCAAAGATCGGCTTCATCATTCCAGGCATATCATTCCTGACCCACTCCCCACCCAGCACAAGGATACATCAGCTTCTTCAAATGAAATCGCACCCGAGATCATGCCGAAACCCGAGATTTTGACCTGGATGGTGACGAAAACTCATTAACATCCATCACCACAGCCCTCGGTCAGCAATCGGAGTTGGATGATGTTGACAACCCAATGACATTCACGTCGGCTTTCAAACAAGTCACACTACAGCAACTATTCAATTTCTCAGATGATACATGGACAAAATTGACGGAGAGGATAGGGATGAGATCACTTGATGATGAACTCGAGTTTTATGAGCTTGTCGAGCTGGATGCAGAAGGTGAAGCGGACGATCAGACTTTCGATGATATGATGAGTTGCACAGTTTGATAAATATATCAACCAATCACAACACTGCATCCATCTGTCACGTGATGGGAAAGAGTCAGAGCCATGAACATGGCGGATGGCAGCGCCAGTGGTCGGCCACTGGCACTTCAAACACTGCTAGATACCCGCCTGTACAGAGTGAACGGACACGATGGTTGTATTTGCGAAAAATTGTCCAGTTATGAGGTCACGATTCTTTTGAATTCCTGGCAAATGGAGTGAACAATACTCTCGAGAGTGAGACAGAGCTCGACTGACCAATTCAAGTTGTTGTTTATCCTGCATCTCCACAGACCTTGTGGGAGATATCTGATAAGTGGCGCCAGCCCGTCTGGCCGCAGGTCTTGCCACAAAAGGTCCAGTGCAGGTCCAGTGAATGACATGCACATCAAGGCAAGCACCAGGAGTGTCGAGAGCTCCGTAGAAGTGTCGTGAACACTGAACCAGCTATAAAATTGACCACTGAAGTTCAGAAATAACGACCACACAACGAGTGGATGCAGGCAATGATGAGCCCTCCATATTTGCGGTGGCAGGATAACTTGGAAGGGGCTGATCAAGCGCACAGCCGCAAGTACACGCCCCGTCGTTCAAGGACCTTAAAAGCACTCTCGTTCCACATCATAGCCCCCTACTATGTAGTTCAAGAACTTTGATAAAAGTTTCTTCGAGTCCAATGTCTTTCGGAAACCAGTCGTTGAGTGATGACGGTTAAATTTGAATCAGGCACTGCTGCATGAATACGTTAACCCTCCAGTTCTTGAGCGCATCTCCTACTTGCGTAAAGAGGAAAAGAACCCTTCATCTCAATTAGGTGATGTTACATAAAGTTTAATGTGTGCCTCCACGAGCGTATCTAGAGCCAGCGCACTAACAGGAGATTTCTTTATCGTAGTTCTCTGAGACAATAATGAGTACGCGGCCCACGAAGAAAGTGATCACATACAAGAGCGAACGCCGTACCACGATATACGAACCCAAAGAGTTCCTTGAACTCTGGATGCGCCTTCGACAAGCCGACTGCATCAAGATGTCTGACAGCGAACTTCTTGATGATCTGTGGAATGTGACGTTGAATGCAAGGACGCGTAGGAAAAGGGGATGACAGACAGATTTATTCTCCTGCTCTATATCGCAGATTTCATCGTCCACAGCACGGGCTTTTCCTTTAGGATCGCTTACGGGTCCAAAAACGTCTGCATCTGCTATGTGGTGGGTGTTCTTTGCGGGGAGCGTGGGTACTTTGAATATACCGCCTCTTTCCTTGTCCTTTCCTCGCCCTCGTGGTTTCGAATTCGGTAAATGCAGCATCACCTCTCTCGCCCGTCTCACCACTTCTGAATCATCTCCTTTTCCATTGCCATTGACTTTTATCCTCGTGTTGGCTGCGAGTTCTCCTATGGTTCGTTTGCTTGTGAGGAGATGGAGAGGCGGTTTTCGAGGTGTGGGGTCGTCTGGACGGGGGGGACGAGAAGCGGGGGTGATGCGTGCTACGCGGATGGTTAGAGATGGAGTAGTGGATGAATGGGCCTCTCCGAATATGAGCATTTCGGTCGTTGCAGGGCCATCTATGAATCGCGGCAAGTCTGAATGGAATGAACGAATAATGATGCGAACAAACCAGTATCTCCCAAAGCGACACGCACGCCTATGTCCGTCCGCCCATCAGAAGTGAGACGCGACAGGCAGAGTATATTTTCAAAGTAAACGCGAGATAGGGCTGCAGATGGATGAATGTCCCTGATAAATGTGAATTGGGGTATCACAGGGTGTAAATAGCTCACATACATACAAACGTCATCCGAATGGTCCATGCTTAGCCTCTTGAGCGATTCAGTGCCTTTTAGTCGGAGGGACGGACGACCGCGCATGCTTTCGAGAGCGAGTGCGAGGGAATTGTGGAGGATATCTTTGTTGGCGAGAAGGGTTGCAGAGAAGGTGAGGCCATCGAGGAGGAGGTATGAGTCCGGTAGGGACAGTGACCCGCGATACAGTAGACGGGAGCACATCGACCGCGTTGTTGATGCTTGTTTACCGTTCGACGTGAATATTAATACACTCAAGTGTGCACGTGGGTACATACACCAAGTGATGTATCAATCTACTACTACTAACACCAAGGGCGCTATGCATCCGCAAAACCACTGAAATGAACGCTTACGACTTCAGTAGCGCACTCATGCGATTGGTGGAGATGCTGAACATATAACCGAAAATGTGTGCTTACGAACGCAAACTTGAACTAAACCAAAAAGAATCATTTACACACGAGCGTTTTGTGAGTGCTTTCGAACAAAGTCGCATTTGCTGTCAGGCTGATGCCCATCATGCATGGCTATGCACGGTAGTGATGATGTTATCACAATTTAGTTACAATTGTGAGTGATGTACAGCCGCTTACTGATGTACTATCAATAGATATATCACACTAGTACTTGCTATGGCTTGGTTACAGCCTGCCCTGGCTTTATTGGCGGCTAACGTCGGCGTCGCTGTGAGGAGAGTTACTACTTAAAGTGACTGGAGGAAGGAAAATGCCGAATACACCCTGCTGTCACTGGAACGACTGTCTTCCTTCTTCAGCTTGGTCTGACCACTGAGACTAGTAGTACCTGCTAACTCCAGCTCAATATGAGTGACTATTTTCCTGATTCCATTGGTTTTCAGACTGTAGCAGTGCGTACTCCTCCTCACCTGCCTGAATTGCTTTTATGTGCTCATTGGAATTCAGTATACTGCGGGTGGTCTACATTTGATCCTTGTCTTGTTTTGCATAACTGAATCCCTTGTGACAGTTGCATCCATAACAGCTTTGGTAAGGAGGAACAAGTGGAGAGCGATCATATTTAATCTTTTCTTTCCAGCTTTTTGACTTCACCATCACCTTCGACTCCGAGGTCAGTTATTTTCAATGACCTTATGTAAAGCTGACAAGATGTAGGTTCGTTTTACATGGGGAAGAAAGTGGGGGATCACGAGGATAGCCTTCATCATTTCTCGTTATTTGTCATTCGTAAGCCTTGCTATGACCGTGTATTGTGAGTACTCCCAATGTCTTGTCTACTCTCGGCCTTTACTGAGGTACCTCGAATAGACTCGGTCGAGTCCACTCGTGGAGGAATTGTAAGCTCTTTGCGACACAACATTAAAAGTACTCATAGCGATATTTCAGCCCAATCATGGGACATTTACTGCTGTATATGATGGTTGTGTACACAAGAGCACCATCTAAACTTAAATGCTCAATCTTTTTCTAGTCATCCGCTTTTTGAGTATCGCTTCTGCTGGAGGTGAGTATCAACTCCAAGCCAAGTCGCCCCCTACCCCATCACTTCTTTTTTAAAGCCTTGCTCGTGGCAAGGACCTACGTAATCTGGGGGTGTAAAAAAAGGTTCCTGACTGTGGCATTGGTTTTTACCACGGTGACCTTAGTCCTCCTCAGCCATTTGCTTGTAACTTAAAAAAATTAACCAGGTCGCCTCAACTGCGGTGTTGGTAATGTCAAGTATCGATGCAATTGAATCTGGAGGTCTGTATATTTTTCCCAGATTTCCCCTGCTCACTCAAAAAATTTCAGCTTCAACGCGCGGTGTATTTGAAGAAGGACGTGACGCTAGCATTGTTTATGGCGTGATAATGTTCGGGGAGCTTAGTACGCAGCGTTGCAATGATTCCGCTAGTGACTTCTCACCTCTGCCAGCGCTGATGTCCCTGACGCTGTACAAATGCTTTAAATTCCACCAAGTGGAAAATTGTCCGCTGCTAACTACTCTATATCGGGATGGCATAATTTATATGCTCTGTATTACTCGTGAGTTTTAAAGGCTCTTTTCAGGGACGCGGCCTTACTTTTCGCAGTGGTCTCGATGGCGAATTGTGTTACCATTGCCGTACTACCTGTGAGCGAGTTGTTTCGTATCGCAATATAAGCTTCTGACCACCTGACCAGTCATCATACACTGCACTTCTTGCTGGGTAAACCGTGTTGTTGCTTACCTCGTGTCTAAAGCTGAGTCAGAGAAGCCCACAGCTAGTCGTGCACGGTGTTCTCGCCTCACGTATCCTGTTCAATTTACGAGCATTGACTGACTTGCAGGATGTTGCTACAAGCGAACTGGTTGTCTCGGTAGTGGTTTTTTCTCGATCTATGGCGTTTCAAACCCCATCTTGTATGGATCATGCAGAGTGACATCTTACAAATCAGTAGTGCAGCGTTCAGTGAGGCCAATGTAATAGACAACTACATGCAGCGCGTGCAATATGTAACATCAGTATATAAAAACGCGTCCAAGTCCAGTGTGACCAACATACATTCATGTATAAGATGTGCACAATCACTGCACCTCACTGCGCCTCACTGCGCCAAAGCTTGCAATAAGGCTTGCGAACCGATTGAACGCTAACCGGGCGCGGTATTTAAATAAAAAGCGAGTATTCAAGGTTACAACGAGACTACAAAACTGCGTCGCAAGTACTCCATATTCTGATGTTTCAGATTTCCTCTTCCAAAATCTCCATTCCTCGAGCGGCAGTAAAATTTGTTCAGAAGCAAACCCGTTGATCAACTCAGCAACAGACGACTAGTAACTAGGGCATCGTGCCATCAACCATACTGCACCGATGTAAAAGCAGAAACACGACTCACTGTAGTTCGCTGTCGCGACATGGCATGCCAGTGCTCACTCACATACATAAAAACATGATCTATCATGCCGGTGAGTCATGTGGTTAAATCCAGGACGCAAACTTTATACTCACGCATCCATCATTTATAGCGCAGCCATTGCAGTCATGTTTAGCAAAGCAAAATGTAGCACAACTTTGTTCACTGGTAGGGTCACTGGCAGGTGCTGATGCTGCAGATATTGATGCTGTCAAGGCAGCAACAACGGCGAGGACAAAGGTGAAACGCATTGTTTATGAGGATGTGATGCGAGATCGAATAAATCTGAAGGGGACAGTAGGAAGACGGTTTGCTTTTATGTGCAGAATATTGATATTCATGGCGATGTAGGAAGGACCCATCCACCCTTCCGGACAGATGATATCTGCAATGCCAGCAGATTGCCACCTAAGATTTTGAAAGCTTAGTTCATACAGACGGACCGATCATAACTTGTTACCTTGTGAAGCAAGGTCTATTGACAATCTGGTGCGGAACAAAATTATCACCTTGCGGAGCAAGGTCATGCCAGCTCGAATCCGCTGTCGGGAACAAACCAACGTTTCTTTTCGCTGCCTTTTCACGTCATCTATGACGCCTGTATTTTTCAGCTACAACTACACGTCAACTTGCAGCTCAACATCACAAAAATGGCTCAACTCAACCTAATATAGTGGCTTATTGGGCTCACATCACTGCCGGCCCGGTGTTGCCATTGGGTACTCTCTAACTCGCCTCCCATCGCTTCTCTGCACGCTGTCACGACATTGATAGGATCACTAATGTGGTACCGTTCGTGGGGTATCCCTCATGTGTCCACGCTATGTATATACCAACCCCACTCAATTACATTTTATTTCGCCCACTTTATTTCGTGCAAGCAATATACATGTCATCTGCGAGTGACAGCCAGTGGGAGCGGAACAGAAATACAAGAAGTCGTAAGTATTTTATTCTAGGTCTACAGTGTTATAAATCGTGCTGAGATTGGGATGTGCTGACACAGCACGTATCGCAGAGGCGTGAATGCACTGGCAAGTGGTGCACTGCGTCATTGATCATAATGGCTCGCAGTGGACTTTCCCCACTGAAAACGCGTACTGACTGACTTCTATACCACACCAACCTCTACACTGATCTGGCCTCTGGTCTTCTTCGAAAAACGCGTCCCGTGCATCCCAGACGTCGTAGACGTGCCATGACGTATGCACAGTCTTGCAGTTGGGATTTTGAGCATATCGTCGCTGTGTCGTCGCGCTGGCATTTTTGGGACTCCGCGACACGAATGTGACGATTTATTCCACACACCAATATACGCAAAAATAAAATGAGCGAAATAATCCATAAATACTGTCCGCGATAATGAAGCGTGAGCTTTCAAATTTCATTATCACTGCCTTTTGGCGTAACGGTTAAACGTTAAGGGAAGACAGTCTTGAAAGCTTGACTACTTACATGCTACATCAGCAAAACCCTAACCCTATGTGCAGCGTTGTGCAGCGCTGCACAGCAATCACAGTGTCACAGCGAGGTGCCCCCCATGTACAACGCTGCACAGTGTTGCACACTACACAATTTCTCAATAAAACATAATTGTTAGCATACCATCTTGTTATATATATGTTTGTGACTACATTACACTCATTTTTACATAGAATCAGAACCTGTGTGATGCTGCAGAGCCTTTACAAAAAACTCTGTGTGACCTGTGACACGCTGTGTGGCTGTGGCACTGTAGCCAAATCAGGGTTTTGCTGATGCTACAGTAGATATTCTCATAATGCATAGTAATGCATAATAATTAATAAAAAAACGAAAGAGATATATTTGCCCATATACCACCACTATGCATTATGAGTAGAGCATGATGCATGACATTTCTACCATGGTGCGTGATTTTATATCTCGAAAGTCGGTTTGTTGTCGAATTTCTTTGGCATTTTTTCGTCACGCATTATGAGAATATCTACTGTACTAGCTTGGCGTGATGGCGCCCCAACAATTTGGCAACCAAAGGATACCAAACAAATTAGGTCGACGTGCAGAATTAAGGTTTCCCTCACCTCTTCCTCGATCGAGTAGCTCCCCTCGGGTTCAACGTTCAACGTTCAGGCTCTCTTCTTCCCTAATCCATCTCTCTTCCCACCACCACCATCTCGCTCGTCAATCCAAGTTATCCCCTTCCACTATAAGTCATGGTAGCTCGTGAGTCCTGTTGCGTTGTAGTTTTTGACGTGCATCTCTGTCCCACCAGCCCCCTTAAGTGTTGCCCCTTTTCAAGTTATCTTTCCAGTCAAAATAATCGATCGGCGAGTCCTTCTCATTAACTATTGTATCTCTGCACACAAAGTTAGTGCTGTGCACTTCGAATGCACCGCGCTCATTTCTGGGACTGTCCCCAGCATCGTACCTGATCGCCTCACTCTACCGCACCGCCAGCCCTCGGACCCTCTCCACTGTTTGGCAGAATTCTCCGCACCGTTTTAATTTTTCACTGCGCCGCTAGCTTCTTTGTAGCACAATGCTAATTTAAATACAAAGCAGAAAGGAAGACCTGCCGGATCCCAGGTAAAGCTAAGCGCCGCATCGAGGAATCCGATGACGAGGGACCGGCCAAGCCAACCGCTCGCTCGAGGTGTCTGACACGCAGGAATAGATGGTATGATTTTTTTACCTTAGTTATACTGCGACTCGCGGTTCTGTTTACAAGTTATTGTAAGACCTCCTATAATTCTTCGCTCTCCATCGTTTTCTGACCTTCACCTCAGACTCGGCTCCTTCTCTGCATTTTTCAATTGGACTGCTTTCACGTAACCTATACACTGTCATGTTCTCATTGTTTCGTGACATTCCTTTTCATGCTTTGCACAGTGCTATGGTCATGATCCGGGTTACTTATATTGCCGCGTATATCAATACCTTGTAAGTAGTATTATAATTATGTGTATCGCTGTATCAATATATACCCAGTTCTAGAGTCTAGCCCCCAAGATATTGTGTCTAACTGACTTTTGGGATAAGATGTGTGTTACTAGGCATCTGGAGCCTTCTTTCCCCTCCTCCTTTTCACAGCCCTCGCCTTCAAACTATCCGACTTCAAAACCTGCTCTCAGTCATATTTCTGCCACAGGGGACGCGCCCTCGCCGCACGCGTACACGTGTTGATCCTCCCGAGCCCCCTCGAGCTCGAGTCTCGCTGACTGAAGAAAGAAAGTGCTGATTAGTATACAGCGAGCAGTGAGCGTGTTGATCCTTGTTCAAGTTCGGGTCTTGCTGAGGGAAGACATGACCGATCCATTCGCAGTTTGTGATGTTGGTTGTTCCTCTGTCAGGCTCGAGCCCTGCTGGCAGAAGTCATTGTTCATACGTTGACAGCGAGTGAGTGTACTATCCTCCTTCGAATCGGAGCCTTGCTGACCGAAGAAATTGCTGATCTGTTAGCAGCGTATTGATGTATTAGTCCTCATTGACCGTTGAATCCGAGTGTTGCTGAAAATGATTAGCCGCGGCAATGCATGCACCACTGATGAGATGCTCACACAGGAGATCGATGCGATCGGATGATAACAACTATGGCGCTTGCGCCAATTACTCATTTTACCATGGATGGAGGTCAGGGGGTCCAATGTTCCATAGACCAACGTCACACGAAGCTGTTCCCGTAGAAAAACCATGGTGGTGTGCCCGAATAACACTTGGTCATCGGCGATCGCGGCATTGGTGTTGGACAATTCCACAGAGTTAAGTATTGCTAGCCAGACGCGACGGGAATCAGGTAGGCAACGGCTGGCATCTCAGAGTTGACGGAGCGGTGCAATTTAGGCGCATGTGCAGAGGCACGGGAAGCTCTATCGTCCAGCAATATGTATGATAGCAGGGAGCATCCAGCGTACAGCCTCATAGTTTGGGCAACCAAACGAAACATGAGAATTTACAGTGTAACGCTGCTTGAAAAAGAAGGGACGACTGTCTTGAAGTGTCTTCCTTTTTTCACGATCAGGAGACTAGACAAAAATGGCAGGTACAGGCACTCGGCAGCTTACAGTTAAAGAAACTTCATGCATTTCAGCAGAAAAAGCTTCGGCGTGTGTATCCCCAAGTGGGCACTAAATGTCGTGTCGGAAATTATGGAAACGCAAATACTGGTATAGGGGGCGATGCAAGCAAGAAGACAGATGATAAAAGTGCAGACCTGGATGCAAGGGGAGTTGCTGATTCAAAACCTTTAGCCTAAAACTGACTTCGGATGAATGTCCATTCGATGATCAACGATAGCAGAGTTTGAAACAACTGATTATCTTCAATGCAAATTGGAGACACCAGGCTGTAGTGCCGATTTCGAGGTAGATCAAAAGAAGTCCCGCAACCGTCAGATCTCCGCCAAGAACATTCCAGGGAACAGAAGCTCAACATGTCACCAAATGGAATACCACGTGTATGGACGTCGACTTAATTGAAACTTGAGGGATGACGGCAAATCAGGTGAACCGTGCTTGTTGTCGTCCGACACCTGCAATGACAGTGGTCGAAATAACTTCACTCAGGCTTTCTGTAATGCGTTCAAGAGTTATTATAGTAGTGAAGTGTCCTACCTTAGGGGAATGGTTGAGATTAAAAGGTTGCTACCGAATTTGAACTCGAATGGCGGCGATCAAAGATTGTGCCTACCCGCACCTAAATCTAGGCATTGAGTTGGTTTCTGGATGGTCGAAGGGTTGGGTCCATTTATCCCATTCGATAGTGGTTGTCAACACCTACATCAATAGTAGGTCATGCGATCGTGCTCAGCGTTGAGCATGTGGAAAGCTGCGGCGACAGGAGTCGGACACATGAGCTCAGTCGCTTAGATCGTCAAGCAAGGCGCTTATGATAAGAACCTCATGTCTTGGGCGTCTGATGAAAGATTAACGCAATGAAACAGCATAAAAACGCAGAGTGCACGCACCTCTGCGATTTAGAGCCAGAACCCACAATCTCCCCACCAAGTCCACCTCGGCCGTCAACAATACCTTAATGTCCAGGAAATGACGCAGCTCATGCCAAGCGCCACACCCATTCGAACATTTAAAGATGATGAAGGAAGCGTATTAGCAGTCGCAGGTTTCTCTGATAAACGACGTATGGTAACATTGTCGGACGACGGGATGCTTCGTCTGTGGGACTTGAGGAAAGGCGTTGTGTTGAACAAAACGGAGGGACATCGTAGGAGCAGCGTGTACGCATTGGCGGTATCACGGGATGGCCAAGTGATGGCAAGCAGTGGTAGTGGTCAGCTCATGACCTGGGATGGAAACACCGGCGAACCTCTTAATCCTCCTACCCGCGTCGAATCTCACCTCCAATCGTTGGACTTCTCTCCAGACGGCACCGTGCTGGCCGGTGCATGTGAATTCGAAAGGGACTGTTTTACGTCGCTGTGGGACACAGCAACGTGGCAGCAGCAAGGAACTTCAATCAATTGTCGTACAAGGATGATCTACTGCGTTCGGTTTTCACCGTCTGGCGAACATCTTGCCATCGCGACAAAAGATAATGAGGCTATCCTGTAGTTATAATGCATTAAATGCATGATAGTTACAAGACAAATGTATTGCATTAACCATTGTAACTATCAGCAACCTCTTACATAACATTACATAACATCTAACCTCCGAGGCACTCTCAACCTGCGCCACGCTTTGTCACATGATTCAGGATCAATGTCAGCATTTCTATCTATCGTCCCCAGGCAGAATATAATCCTAGCTAACTAACCACTAACCACCTAACCACTGACCACTAACCACTAACCACTAACCCTCTGACCTCTAACATCTAGCATCTAACCTCTAACAAACCTCTAACATCTAACAATCTAACCTCTAACCCCCTCTTACTAAGATTAAAAATTAATTCATTAGCCATTACAATTGTTAATGCAATACCTTATCTTGTAATTACAATGGTAATGCATTATATCCCCAGGGTGAGGTGAGATAATATCCAAATTTATAATCCAGGCACGTGGTCTTGCATCACAAATTTCAAGGGTCATTCAACGTTTAACTCGACACTTGCGTGGATGCCCTGATGGCACACGGCTTCTCTCAGCGGGCTGTTGGGATGATCCCACCATACGAGAGTGGGATTCGTCAACCTGGAAGCAGGTCAGTGATCCCTGGAAGGGCCATTTCAGCATCATCCACGCTATTTCCCTGAACTCTGACTGGCACTCTTCTTGCCTCCGCATCTGATGACAAGCGTGTCCGCCTCTGGCAAGTTGCAGATCAACGAACCATCGCCATATTCAGACACTCTGATGAGGTGCACTGTGTCACCTTCTCTGCAGATGATAGGCACATCTTCAGTGGAGGCACAGACAACCAGATTTCAGAGTGGCCTGCATCCGAGCCTGAGGACGCTTTACCACAGGATGGTCTGACTCTCAAGGAGCTGGCAACCCTGTAGGTAGTAAGTTCATTTTCATTTTGCTGCCCCTTCGTCACCTAAGCGTCTCTGTTAGGCCAAGGATCAAGCATGCTCTGATATCAAGCACAGGTTCGTGTCATATTGATGCATTAAACAGTACAACTGTAACGCACCAATGATGCATCATTGGTGCAATTGTACTACCTTTGCTTTTCTCACGCTGATGCATCAGCCCGCTCCATGTTGATGCATGCCCACCGCCATCCCCTCCATTCGCTGATGCATCCTTTTTGTTTTCTGATGCATCAGTCCTCTCTTCGCTGATGCATCCTTTTCGTTTTCTGATGCATCAGTCCTCACTTTGTCACGCCCTCCCGCCGTCTTGTGCCCACTGTCCTCCTGCACCCGACCTCACTTTCTCGTGCCCTCCTGCTGTTTCACGTGTGCTATCACACCCACCTGTCATTACATGTGTATTGCATTTATTATTTATCTACTAATATTACAACAAAGGTCTACTATGTGTCCATGTCCATGTCTTGCTGAGCAACGAGCAAGTTGTGGTCAAATGTGTCCACCAGTGCCAAGGTGTCGGTCCAGCTGGTCTTGAAGGACTCAGCAAGCATTCGACGTAAGGAAGCTTGACGTTTGGCATATGCCATACGGCCCTCACGTTCATCTTCACCTGCATCCTCTAACGTGTTTTCCAGGCCTTGCTCGTCCCAGCGCTGCGCGTCCCATTCCAAAAATTGCAGAATCCTTCGCATCTCCTCCTTCAACAATTCCACCTCTTCTGCCCAGTGCATTTCCCATGCCCTGGCTTTGCACCATTCTATTCGCATGTCTGGTTGTCCATGAGTCTGACTAGGAAGCCATGAAATGAAGAGCCACCTACCTTCCGAGGCATTGTCCTTGTCTATCTCATTGGCAGCCACTCCCCACATATTCCAAATCCACAACAACTTTCTTGTTCCCTCTGTTTCTCCCCATAATAAGTCCGTCATCGAGCGGACGTCAGCTCGGTCTAGTGGTCGCAGTGATGAGTGCCACCCAGTCTGATTCACTCGCGGTGAAAGAACCACAAGGGCTTTATGTGCATACTCATAAGTGCTGGCAGCAGCCCCAATCCTCGCCTCAACAGCTTTCAATGTATTCTGTGCCCTTGTGTTTGCTCCTTGTCCACGGAGGTTGCGGTCCTTGTACTTGAGGATTGCAGTCTGAGCACGTAAGTTTGAACACAGAGAGCGAAGTGCATCGTGACCTTGTGCATACTGCAGCTTCCATTCGATGGCCTGGAGGCCGCTGTTGCAAGGTGCAGTCCTGCTGATCTGGGATGGCAGCCAGAGCTTGATTGCTTCTGGTGCAGCAGTCATGCTGCCAGATACTGAACTCTTGCTCACACGTAGTGCAGCGAGTGACAGCATGTATAATTCCTGCATCCTCATCCAGGTATCAATCCTCCGTCGGAGAGTGTTGCTTTGCTGAACCGTCTTCCCTTCTTGATTATCTGTTGTGTGAACTCTGAGGCCAGCTCTGCTTGCTTTCATTCGCCGTCTATTGAAGTAAGAACAATGTCATAAAAGTAACAGTACACTCACTGTTGTTCCTCAAGTTCTAAGCTGGTACTGATTAATATGCTAGGGGTGCAATCCTCATGTAGGGCAAGGCAAGTTCCTGTTTGAAGGTTGATCTCGTCCTCCTTAGCCAGTTCTAGTCATACTGAAGCCATAGTGACAGCTGCAATGCGTCAAGATTAAAATGAGCACATAAGCATTACCATCATTGTCTTGTACTTACTTTCTGCTTTTTGTTTGAAAGGATTAGGCTGTGTAGGGTCGTTCTCCCAAGCCTCCACTTGTTCTCTCCATTGTTTGAGGGTGGCACCATATTCGCCTCGCAAACCATCATTGAGGTCCTCAAAGGCTTCACGATGGTTCTCGCGCTCTGGGAATGCATTCTTTATCTTGTGAAGCATAGTATGACCTGAAAAATCTAAGTTGCCATTTTTTTCACGAAAATTGACGCACCAAGTCCAACAACCTTTTTCCAATTTGAGTCTCCAAAGTAGTCGTCAAGGGTGTCTCGCCGTGTGCCAGGCCCCATTTCTTTGGTGCTCGAAGCAATGGGGTTGATGTTGGCCCAGCCACGTTCTGGTGCTTCTCTGTCAGTCCTGCCTACCCCGTTCTTGAAATTGAATGAAAATGATGTTTGGCACTGCTTAATATGAGTGGGAAGGTGGAACTTTGGCACGAAAAATGAGATTGTCTTGATGGCATGCGAGAGATGCATCAAATCAGAAAGGCACTCATGCGGTGCCATAATTTTTTGTGCCACTGGCATGCGATGTTGTAGGATACATTGAGAGTGTCGAGTACAGTATGACGTAGTGCTGAGAAAAACAAGTAGTTCATGTTAATATATCTACATGCGTGCGTTAGATCACCAACTGCTGGATGCAAATGACAATTTACCTTTCACCCTTTTGAAGATCCCCAATGGCATTGGGCAGTTTCATGTTATGGCGGGCACAGTCGACAGTACCTAAACCAGTGGTAGCGAGTCCATGGTTAGATTTTGTATCAGCCATGTTTACAGCATTGTGACTTGAACACGTTGATTTCTGCAAATCTAACCGTTAATATATGAAAAAGAATAATTCAAACCACGAACCTCCTGGATGCTGTCTGCACCGCTGTGCAAGAAATCTTTATATGCTTTGTCCTCGACAAAATATCCCCAGCCACGACTCAGGCTTGGGTCAACACTGTTGCTTGAAACAGCCTTGCGTTTTAAGTGGAAGATTGTGTCTATAGTGAGGAATAATCCATATAGCCACCTAACAGTACCTATATCAGTAGAAATTCCCCTCCAGACTGGAGCTCGCTCTAAACTTACTGTTGAGGAGCATCTTTCCAACCAGCTGGGAGATTCTTCCCTGGGTGTGGGCACGCTGGGCACAATATAGTACATTCACCCTCAACTGTCCCATCTACACTGCTGGGATCGTGACCTCGCCCCGAGTGCTTAAGCATCTTCAAGTGGCGCCACTCACATATCATCCGTGTAAATGAATCATACTGATCCTGGAGGAAGCTGGATTAACTTTGAAGGCACCTAAAAATTAAGTTTACCTTGATGGGAAGTAAGCCAGTGTTATTGGACATCCGGCTGAGCACATTATAAAATTCGAAGGCAGATACTTTTGACTCAAATGAGAGTAGGTGATAGTGTTCAAGAACATGGAATGTCACAGCGGTTTTTGGATCTGACATTGTTGAAGGAAACCACAATATTTGAAGTAGCTGTTGTATATGGCTTTGGGCTGTTGCGCAATTGCAGAAGTCGAGAGATACTTCGTGTATGCCATGGGTGTCGACAACAATAAAATCATCATTGAATGCGCGACAAGGATTAAGACATTTCTGGCCAGTGGTGTGGCCAAGCTGGATGCGAAGGCCCAGGGTTTTCAGAGAGATTCGCTTGAAGTATTGACCATTCCATTTCTGTATTGATATTAGATATTAGCCTCGCATCCTCATCTCCCAATCAGACATGAAAGCATACCTCCAATTGGTGAAGTGGGTGGTGCACATGAGCCAACAGGATGCAAGGTGAACAATAGATCTCTGACCCTAAGCAGTCCCAACACCTATACTCTGGGCTGGGACAATTACACTCCGAGCAAGATTGAGCGCCAAGTCTATTACATCTTCCTTCAAGACAGATCATTTCCTGCAGAAATAATTCTCGGTGCTTCAACCACATCAACAAAGGATGTTCCTGAATAATGGTGAGCGACATGTCAAAGGACTCAGAACATTATAATGTACATACACCTGCTGCTCATTTTCTCCTTTGCTGCCCTAAAAAGTCCAATTGTTACAGTAACATGAGCGTTACGTGTCATTTCATTCTTCAGACTCGTCTGGACCCAGACCATGGTTATGATTCTATTCCTATCTCTTTCTTTTTGATCTCGTCATTCTGAAACGCGAGAAGCTCTCGCTTCTACCTCTAGATCAGAGAAGCCTCAGCTTCTACCAAACCCTATGCCCTTCCCACTGTTTCGGTTCTCTCATTGATGGGGATTCCCCATGCCCTTTGCCCTTACCGTTCAACCGGTACTTCTTACCTCTTTTTACTTATGACTCACACAACCCCTGACCCTTACCACTACCTCGGTATTGCCTCCGCTTACCCTGTACCCTTACCGTTCCACCGGTAGATCACCCTTACATATATATATCTCACTTGTACTGTAGATAGATTCTCTAACTTGAATCTACTTGGTTCTCATCTAATCTTGTCGTTGGGACTGAACTTCTCTTGCCTAAGAGAATCCCCCTTTGTACAAAGAACCATCTACTCTTGAGACAATACTCTTGAGTTGAATTCCGTCTCTTGGATCACATCCTCGAGAAACTCCAATTGACTCTACGTAAGTAAGGGCCTTAACCCTTACTCAGACTTAGCGCAGGCAAGCTCCTTGCTGGGCTAGTGCCAAAGGCCATGCTCCGAACACCCCTTGCGGGTTTAGCGCCACCGGATCTCATCCGAGAGGTTTCGTGTAACACCAATGATACATCGAGCAGGAGATCTGTTAAGACTGTGCTCAGGGGTAAAGCGGAGTCTGAGGGGCTTGGCTTCAGCTCGTACGCTGCGCCCCTTACACGAGTATGTGCCCCTAATTTCAGAATGTAGTCCGATATGAATTCTATGGGTTCCGACAGGACATCGGAACGGGGGTCCTCTGAAGGAGGACCGACGAACTACTAGGTGAGCGCAGGAAAGTCGGGCGGGGGTTGTTCTGCCCGACAGGAGGGAAGTGGGAGACTACTGCGGTTGGAACCAACAGTAGGAGCAGAGCGGAACGGAGGGGACAGATGCGAGAGTGCGGGGTTTTAGTTCCGACACCCGGGAAGTCAGGTGAGTGGAGGGATGGAGGAACAGGGGAATGGGGGAATGGGGAATTGGGGCAACAGGGGAATGGAGGAGTGGGGGATCAGGGGGTTGGACCAGGGGTGGGGATGTTCATGGGTGGTATTGGAGGTGCTCGGATCCGGTATATGACAAGATCATCGAATGGCTCAGGAATTGACAATGGTGCCACATCATGCAGAGTCAGTGCTGCGCAAGTTCGATTATTGATAGTTGCTTGAGCATTCTTAGGAGGTTTGAGACACTTCAGTGTATAGGTGATGGACCTGTCTTGATGAGCTTGGTATTCAGTATGCTGGCGAGAAGGGACTGTGTCATATCCCGTACCTCCGGATCTGGAATTCCGGATCTACTTCATTAAAGTCCAGTCCTCCGTCTTACTATTCCACCTGGCGCTCCACCTTCATCTCCGCACTCACCCCTAACTCCTTTTAGATTAGCTATTGCTCCGGTTACCAGTTATGTCCTATTCCGCTATGCTTACTGATTCATCCATTCTTACTTCATTTCCGACTTCACTGCTTTGATCCATTACATTTAGTAATAGACTTTCCACATGCTTCGTACATAGCCCTTACCTTTGCTGACTGATTTGATTACATGATACCTACAGTATATAAACCCCTGTAATACTCCGGAACTCCTCAGTTCGAATATCATCTTAGTTCTGCTCATTCCTGCAATCTCCGGACTTGAGTCTCACCTCTTGTCCACCTCCGAGTCTTAGGGGTTGAAACCTTAGGACTAATCCTCTGGCTCTACCTTAGGGTAGTCTAACCTCTGTTCTGTTTCTACTCCGGATTTCTGTAATAGCCTTACTCCGTCCCCACATAGTCTTCCGGAGTTCTGCCGAACTCCACCGACTTCTGTCCTCTGGAATTCCCCGGACTTCCATCGGACTTCCCCTCTGTCCCCCAGAAATTAAGGGCACATACTTGGGTAAGGGGCACAGTGCACGAGCTGAAGCCAAAGCCCTTTGAGTAACCTCTCCCTTGAGCATGACCTTAACAGACTGGGACTGAGTGGTAAATGTTGAGCTTGGTTTTCTTTTTCCGTTTCTTCGGTACTCTGGACATTACATCATAGTATATTGTCTGTATTGAAGATGTCCCTGCCTCAGAAGAGCTGACAGCATAAGTAGGATCTGTAGACATTCTTTGTTGATTTCTGCGCTGATTGTCACGGTGTCGAGCGAAGAGTATTCATCCATACCGATCTCACATTTACAGTTCAAGTCGTTACCAAAAAAAATCAAGCATTCATTTGGCAGAAAATGAACATGATGGAGAGCTGTGCAAACCAAACACGGTGCCACAGACAGACATGTTTAGGGCCAGAATGAATTTTTCACCAGCGATGATGTCCAAATGGCGATGACGCCTTAAAGCTGGCACTGAGATATCAACCAATGCTACCAAACGAAGTATGGTATCGAACCTACTAGTGTGTCACCTGCTTGCTGCAAGCCTACGTCAGATGGCACGATGAACTTTCTGTTCTCCCAGGACAAGTGACTGAATGGTAAAGTACGTAGCAACACGATTGCCTGGTGTCCAGAGTTCAAATCTCACGCTATCCCTATGGCAAGTGTTACATATAAAAGAGAGTTAATGAAAATGTGAAAGCTCACCAGATGTATGATGGAAAAACTCCGATGTAGCGGCCCTGAGTAATGCAACAAAAAGGGGGTTCTAGATCATGCCGTGAAGGCATATTATAGAATATTCCTTGATAAGAGTATAAAAAGCACTCGTCTGCCATAGTGTTTGCAGCCTCCTCTAACTCTAAACTGCCCTCATGCACAGTCACAAACTCCTCTGGTTTGGCCATGTAGGGCATCATGGTAATATCGAGCCAAAGGGGATTGGTGGATCTTGCATTGAGAGGTATCCTGGGACTGGGTAAACTGAAAGACACCATGTTTTTTGGATTAGTCCTCAGAAATGCCCCCATTAATAGTGAAAGACTCACCCTGCATCATGAACATTGACACGGTGGTAGTATTTCCGGTGCTTTCAATGTCGTATTTAACAGTCACTCGGTCGATACAAAGTTCTAGAGAAAATCGCCAGTGGTAGTTACAGTAGTTTTTGGGTTAGTCTTATGAACCGCTACCAATGATATAGCGGTGCACTCACCTCAGACATTAACATTGATATCGAAATTTGCTTAGACGTAAAAAGTGTTATTGGAAATCGATTTTTGGTGCTTGGAATCACTGGTATGACATTTTCAGACAGTATGAGTCACTGTATATAACACTGATGCATCACTGATGCATCTCTATGATTAATACAATATATTGATATCAGGAGCAGTATGGTATAGTAGCTCACTGCGTGAAGTATATCCTGTAGGTCAATCATGACATGCGTGAGCAGAATGCAAGTGGCGGCCAGGATTCCTAGTAGGAGGTGAACACGTACCGGTTGAAATTGGGACTGCTCGGGTTCTTTGCAATGACACTAAAGATGTCGATCTAGTTGAAATTGGGATTGTTCAGATTCTTTGCGATGATACCAAGAATGTTGACCAGTCACTGGAGGACTTGATGATAGACAGTGTGAGATTTTGACATACAGTGATGATAATGTGCATTGTACCATTTCAACATCTGCAAAGTCCTGTTTGATGTAACAGTTAGATATAAAGTTGTCAAATTATCAGTAAAGTGTGACTCACCGCTCATGCTGGTACTACCAATGTTTTTGTGAAAGTCTTCAACTGCTTTTGGGTGGGGGTATCAGCACTGACATTGGTCAGATGGTTTTGTAATGTTCGTTATGGATTGAAACATACCAATGGTGCTCTTGATCATATTTTGGTTTGTTCTTCTTGCTGATGATGATGGTGCAGTTACTGTGTCTTTTGGTACACATCAGTAGCTAGAACAGAGAGAGAAGTGCGCACTTTGCATTTGAATATCTCTTGCAGTAAGAACAAGCAGTGTTGAGTTGCCAATCTTTTGGTGTGTGATGAAATTAAGGCTGAAGCGCTGACTGAGTATGGCTTTGCCATTGTTACCGCAATTGGCAAGCAAGAACTGATGCAAATAAGCCATTTGGTCTCATTATACATCAATCATATAGTACTAGTTAGATCAGCTCAGAGTATGTCCTACCTTGCACAATGATCTCGATAATAGCCAGATTAGTTATTGAACTGGTAATCTTTAGGCTCAAGTGTGACACATGATCATGTTCACTGGCAAGTTGGAACTCAACTTGAACATTGCAAACACTGCGAGTCAATAACTACTATCACGCATGCTATGGCACATTGCATTGGACTGGTTCCTGTATCCACTAACTTCTAATGTCGTCCAGGTGGGTCTCTAGTTGCTGGCCAATATGACACAAATGTACTTACTGAAGTACTAGCCACAGCGCAATACAAACAATTACCTTTGATTTTGATTCTGATGTTCAACCTTCTATATCAATGCCCAGGTGATTCTCTCCTTCAAGTTGCTCTCGATGTGATGTTCTGAATGAGAGTATAGTACATGTTCGTTTCTCAACACTTGAACGTTCAATTACCTTTCGGATTTCAATTCTGATGTTCAACCTTCCATATCAATGCCTAGGAAGTTGGAACTCAATGTTGCAAACACTCTGGGTCAATAACTACTATCACACACACTATTGCACATTGCATTGGACTGGTTCCTGTATCCACTGACTTCTAATGTCGTCCAGGTGGGTCTCTAGTTGCTGCCTAATATATGACAAATGTACTTACTGAAGTACTAGCCGCAGCACAATGCTTACAATTACCTTTGATTTCGATTCCGATGTTCAACCTTCTATATCAATGCCCAGGTGATTCTCTCCTTGCTCTCAATGCAATGTTCTTAATATGAGAGTATAGTATATGTTTGTTGCTCAACATTCAAACATTCAATTACCTTTCAGATTTCGATTTCCGATGTTCAGCCTTCCATATCAGTGCCTAGGTGATTCTCTGCTTGCTCTCAATGCGCTGTCCTGAACTGCGATATTCTGAACTTATACGTTCAATGTTCGATGTCCAGGTAATTCCCACTTGCTCTCAATGCGATGTTGTGAACTTGTCTGATTATGGGAGTATAGTATGCCATGCCGTTCATTTAAACCATCATCAGTCATGGAATGAAAAAGTTGCCTTGTAATCGGATCATGTAGCAAGTTCGTTAAATTAGTTTCCTTTTTTCAATGGGTGATGTTGATCTGTTGTTTGGCAATGAGCGATATAAAGACAGATGTAGACATTGTGAAGGGAGACACTCGTCTATCATCATGCAAAGCGAAAAAAAGTACAACGGCTCCACTATTAGCATGGTGTATAACTGAAAATTCTATGGCAGATGCCGCCAGCTAAGTGGACTACTATGGAACAGTACCTATGGCTCCAAGAACATTTCCCGGAGTATACTGCAATCCACGATGGGGACAAGGAATACACGCTCTTCTGGCCCAAGATTTATCTTTATTGGTTTAGCAGATGGCCTGAGTGAGCTATCCTCTTCCCCGGTATCCCTAATGAAACAATGTTAGAAAAGGAGCAACAAACCAGCAGAAACTGATGCTGAGGATTCACGTAAAGCTGTAAGTTGTCAAATGTGTTGACAATTTTTGACTGCTAAGGCAAAACCCTGGTAGCAATTACAGACCTGGTTTCATTGGCAGACAAACGCATCCAAGAAAAAAAATCGCAGCTTAAAGAAGGATATGTCCATCTTTGAAGCTGCACTGGTACCAAAGTCGCACGCAAAATCCACTGAAGAGATATACATGGATATGGTCTATAGTGAATGGATCAAGCCTCTCATCAAGGCCGAACAAGAGGCAGGTAACATAGGTACAGCTGGCCAGCGCATGGCATTGGGCCTGAAAGTTTTGCAAGGAGCTCCTGGAAGACGAGTCAGATGAGGTTAGGAGGAAGTGAGAGAGAAGTATAATAAACAGAAAAAGGTAAAGAGGGTCGTGTTAGACGATGAAGATGACAATGATGAAACTGATGCTGATCCCATCGCAAAGTAAGTACTGGCTTATGTTTGTGATTTTGATGTACTCACACAACCTATAGAGCTATTGATTATTTACCAATCATATGCCAGCGCTTTGCACGTCTCATCAAGAAAAAAACTCAATTCATAGTCTCCTTCATGTGCACTGGACCAGAGCCGAGGCATGATTGGGACATCATTTCATTATCGTAAGCACACCGAAGTTCGAACTAGAAACATGACTAATGAACTCATGCTACTAAGGTGCCATCTGTCAGAAACCCCCGCTGGGAGTAATTTTTCTCAATTGTGCCCTGACAAGGACAACACCTTCCTTGCGGCATACCAGCAATACGCTGAGTTGATATTCCGTAAGACGATCTTTACTGTCCAAATCACTGTAGACTCACCCCAATACTCGTCCATCAGCTGCAAACGAGCGCGATCCGCTACTGCCAGGTGTTGGAGATGACAATGAGCTTGAAGAGCTTGAAGGATGCGACAATGGTGAAGAGGATATGAATGGAGGATGTGATGGTTCCATGGATTGGAATATTCCAGGTCTTTATATCGTTTCATGCCTGCCTGATGCAAGCAGATGCATCAATGATTAGGTGTTAGGTACCGTGCCGGCTCAAGAGGCAGAGGGGTCAGGGCTTGGCTTCAGCTCTTGCGCTGCGCCCTTAGCCGAGTATGTGCCCCGAATTTGGAGCAGGTCTGACGTTGTCCGACGGTAGGACGAGTGGACCGCTTGGGTCTGCTTTGGGGGTCAGGGAGTAAGAGCTGCTAGCGGCGGACCGACTAGGAGCGGAGTGGAGAAGGCAGGGAATGATGCAGAGGGTGGATAGGAACCAGGGAGATATTTTGATAGGAGCAGAGATGGCGGAGGATAATGCAGAGGATAGGAAAAGGGGTGATAGGAGGATATTGATAGGGGTGGGGTAATAAGGGAAAGACTTAGAACATGGCTCTAAGTCGGAGCGGAGGGTCAGAGGGTCGGAGGTGACAACAAGTTGAGACTTGTGTCCAGAGGAGGCAAGGTCCTACTGAGAATTCTCACAGGATATAACTGTGAGAAGACAAGTAATATTAAGACTAAGGAAAAATATCTAAGTACAGGATATGTTATATACTTCTATGTGTGAGGCAGTGATCAGGATAACTATGTAGTAAAGCTATGTACCAAGGATATGGTTTGTTAGTACTTTACATAGGCAAAGACATAAGTCGGAGCGGATATCAATATGTACGCGTCGGATCAGCGATCGGGCAGTAATAGGAATTACCAGTGATCCGGAAGTGAGGGTCTATGTACCGAAAAGGAAAGCATATACCTAAAAGGGGAAAGAGGTCCAGTTGAATGGAGAGATTATGGAAGGGGACTGGTTGAGCGGTTGAGCGGACGCGTAGGGCAGAATGCAGACTTGTGATTGGGCAGAGCGGAAGATGAATGGAGCGGAGGGGGTCGGAAAGTGGAGCGGATATTGATATGGGAGCGGTTGGATCAGGTATATGACATTAGGCTTTGCTACTTCCTCGACAAAAATTAGTGATGCATCAATGTCAGGCTTTGGTAATACCGAAGCCGGCATCAGTGATGCATCATCATTCAATGAACTTGATCAATCTGTGTTTAACTCCAAGGTAAGGCCATTTCATCATCCTGCCTATGTCATCTAATGGTTTTCCAACACAGGCCCAATCTAATGCATCATTCAAACAGGCCCAGCCTGATGCATTGTCAGGCTTTGGTAATACCAAAGCTGGCATCAGTGATGCATCACTCAATGAACTTGATCAATCTGTGTCTAACTCCGAGGTAAGGCTGTTTCATCATCCTGCCTATGTCATCTAACGGTTTTCCGACACAGGCCCAACTAATGTATCATTCAGACAGGCCCAGCCTGATGCATCACTTGCGCAGGCTCAACTTCACGCATCATTTGATTGGCACAACATTAGTACACTGCCTCCCGATCCAACTAGTGTGCCTGGGATGAATGAGGTGTTCGGGTCATCGTTTTCTCATGCTGATCTTATAGCAATGGGGTTTTTGGGTGGCGGTAGCACCATGCCGAACCCATTTCCCCCAGCATTCAGCTCATTAGCACCCTCACTCACTGATACTAGGAGTACTGTACCAGGATACTATGACGTGCAACATGACACGCAATACAGCATGCATATGTGGAATTTCAGCAACCTTGATTTGCAGGGGTGGGAGATGCCTAGCCCATCCTCATTCTTGAGCTCCCCAATTTCTGCCGAGCGCACCACCACCACAACTGAACAGGATGAGGTTCTTCCTCACTTTACTCGTCAGTCACCCATTCTTCCGGCAGCAAATCATCCTGCAGATGACAGCACGGAAGACCTTGACAGCATTCATACTGGTGCTGGTCTTCCTAAGTCTAAGCACAAGCACAAGTCGAAGCTCCCGGCTGCCAAAGTCAATTGCAATCCTGCTATAGAACCCACCCCCACCATCACACCCATGAACACGGCCAAACCCAAGGCCAAACCCAAAGCAAAACCTCTCACCAAGTCTGGTGTGGTAACAGAGACATCACACGCTACTGCTGATGAAGGCAATATGTTGGGTCATTTGACTGCCCCTAATACCACTATGAAACAAAATCCAGCGGTTGATATCGATGCAGCTCCTCATGTATCAAAGCAAATTCCAATCAAGTCCAGGTGGAATGATGTCGCTGACACTATCGGGTCAGATGGTTTGACGTTCATTGGTATTGGTTGTTATGCCGAAGTATAACGCAGGCAAACAATCAACCAATAAGACCAAAGGTCTGTCGATACGTTCTAGACAACTGTCTAAGGAACGCCCAAGTTCAAGTAGAGGCTAAGTACCGAAGAGGTAACTTAGAATCAAGTCAGAGTGTTCAGAGGAAAATCAGCGTAGGTTAAGCTGAAGAATCAGCGTCACCTAGCCAGGGTTTATATAGTAAACAGGGTACAGGGTATGACATAATAATAGGTAATGATCAGTAAGCTACATGTGTAAGCAATGAGGCATCTGAGTCATACCAAACTAAATATAGAACGATAAGAGTCATGCATAGTCAGTGTGGATCAAGGGAAAGAAGAAAAGAAGTTCATAGAACAACACAGCCGTAACATTGGTAGGGAAGATCCACCTGTTCTGGAGGATGTTGGGGCATCAATGACGAAACGTCCTCCCAACTCGACTATGGGCAGCATGATTCCTGCAAAGTACATCCAAGACATCTTAGTATATTCTCACTTTTTCAATGCTAACGGACACAGAAAAAGGTGAATGAAGGCATGAGCCCATGTCTTTATGTCATGAT